CTCAGGGCCACACTTTTGGAATAAAAATTTACTCACGCCACACCAAATTTTTTATTGATTAAGAAATAACACTGGAAAACGAAAAAAACCAACCACTTGCCGTGCTTGATTTATGACACAGAAAACAGCTGCTTCATAATGTAATCACGGGACACTGAAAAAGTACAAACAATGCAGGTATATAAGTACATGAATCATTCCCAAAATAGAATATCAAGTGTCCTTGAATCTTCCTGCCACACCCTTTGAGGTCCTCTGGACTAGGAACCCTGGGAGAGACGAGGGTTCGAATCCCCACTCGGGTGTGAAGCTCACTGAGTATGACCTTTCGTCCGTCGCTGCCTCTCCCAGCCTGTCCTACCTCGAAGGGTCGTTGTGGGGACTAAATGAGGAGGCGAGAGAGCCACCTACAGCACCTTGACCTCCTTGGAGAAGAAAAAGGTGATTTATAAATGCAATCCATCAGTCAAGTCGTCCAGCCCGGTGAACGTTGAGACTGATGGGACAGAAAGCAGGGAGTCGAACAGCAGGGGGCGCCAGAGCCAATGGCAGGATGACTCATTCCAGTTTTATCCCCCTCCTCCTCCTCCGCTCTGCTGAGTTCACCAAGGGGCAGCGCTGAGAGTGAGGAGGAATAGGAAAGTGATACAGCACCCCCCAAAAAAAAACCTGGTTCTAAGTAAGGGGGCAGGGAGGTAGGGGCTGGCTAAGGGCAGGCAGAGTTTGGTGGGGCAGTGCCCCTTTCATCCGAATGGACCTGCCTGCCTCCGCTGCTCAAACTGCAGAGTCTTGCAAGGCCAGATCCCTGATTGACAGCCGTCCAGCCCCTGCATAAATAACTCAATTGCGGGGAGACAGCCTGTTCAATTGTTGGGCAGTGGGAGCGAATTTCTCCTAGTTGAAATCTGCTTCCATTTGTTTTCCAGTTAAGGAGAAGGGCCGAAGTTCAGTGGTGTTGGGACACCTGCTTTGCATGCAGAAGGTCCCAGGTTCATCTCCAGGTAGGGCCTAAGTTAGTCCAAGTCGATTCATTTCTATGTTTCCTCTTTAACATCAGATACAACCCAACTCTCTATTGTCCAAGGCTCTCTATTGTGGTTTGAAGGCACAAGATCTGTGTCTTATCTGTTTGGCTTTTCAGTTGCCCACTTTCTTGCGCTGAAGAGCAGATCTGTGGTGTGGAGACCCCAGAAACAAACAAAAATATATATGCTGAACTGGTTTCAGTTCCCCGTTCCTAGTCTCCCACGGCTCAGCTTTGCTTTAAACTAAGGTAATGAGATGTTGCTTCTTCAAAGAGAAAATGTGCCCCCTAGCGGTCCGTCTGGGGACGTTTTTTTTGGCTCAGAAGAGGAATCAGCTGTAAAACAAGGCGGATTGGCTCCATACTGTCTACTCTGGCTGGCAGCGGCTGCTCCTGAGTTTCCAGTGTAGAAGTGGGTGCCTTTCTTGTCTGGTCTTACTCAATCCTTCTAATAGGGGATAACGGAGATTGCAAAAAAGGAACCTTCTTACATACAAAGCTGCTTTCCTGAAGACAATGTTGGGGAAACTGTTCTGGTAGGGTTATTGCCACCTTTTCCCTCCTTGCCAAGGGTTCCTGTGCCTCTGGGATGATGATGATGATGATGATGATGATGATGAATTATTATTATTTCTACCCCGCCCATCTGGCTGGGTTTCCCCAGCCACTCTGGGTGGCTTCCAGCAAAAGATTAGAAATATATTAAAACATCAGTCGTTAAAAACTTCCCGATACAGGGCTGCCTTCAGATGTCTTCAAAATGTCATATAGTTGTTTATTTCATTGGCATCTGGCGGGAGGGCATTCCATACGGCGGGTGCCACCACCGAGAAGGCCCTCTGCCTGGTTCCCTACAACTTGGCTTCTCGCAGAGAAGGAACCTCCAGAAGGCCCTCAGCACTGGACCTCAGTGTCCGGGCAGAATGATGGGGGTGAAGACACTCCTTCAGGTCTACTGGGCTGAGGCTGTTTAGGGCTTTAAACAGGGTGTGGGATTTCATAAGGCTGTGGTGCCTGCTCCGTCTGGGCGAATAGGGAACTGCCCCACCAGCTGCGGACTTGCTACCTTCATAACAGAGCCTGTGGGTTCAGGCCAAGGGCCCATCTAGTCCAGCATCGTGTTCTCACAGTGGCCAAAAAGGTAAAGGTAAATTGACCCCTGTTAGGTCCAGTCGTGGCCGACTCTGGGGTTGCGGCACTCATCTCGCTTTACTGGCCGAGGGAGCCGGCGTACAGCTTCCGGGTCATGTGGCCAGCATGACTTAGCCGCTTCTGGCGAACCAGAGCAGCGCACGGAAACACCGTTTACCTTCCCGCCGGAGCGGTACCTATTTATCTACTTGCACTTTGACGTGCTTTCGAACTGCTAGGTTGGCAGGAGCAGGGACCGAGCAACAGGAGCTCACCCCATCGCGGGGATTCGAACCGCCAACCTTCTGATCGGCAAGTCCTAGGCTCTGTGGTTTAACCCACAGCGCCACCCGCGTCCCCACAGTGGCCAACCAGATGCCAAATGGGATAACCTGCAAGCAGGACTCAAGCACAAGAGCATCTCTCTGTGGTTTCCTGCAACTGATGTTCATAAGCATTGCTGCCTGCAACTGTGGAGGCAAGAGCAGAGCCATCGTGACCAGTGTCAGATTTACGTATAAGCTAAACAAGCTATAGCTTAGGGCCCCACTCTCTTGGGGGCCCCCCAAAAAAATTAAAGGAAAAAAACCTGGATGTACATTTCCAAAAACAAATGAAATATAACCTGCATACAGCAACAGTGTTTTGTGTTGTGTAGGCTCCTATTTGTTATGTGTGAATGGCTTTAGATACCTATTAGCTCCATAAATTAGGGACGCGGGTGGCGCTGTGGGTTAAACCACAGAGCCTAGGACTTGGCAATCAGAAGGTCGGCGGTTCGAATCCCCACGACGGGGTGAGCTCCACTTGCTCGGTCCCTGCTCCTGCCAACCTAGCAGTTCAAAAGCACGTCAAAGTGCAAGTAGATAAATAGGTACCGCTCTGGCGGGAAGGTAAACGGTGTTTCCGTGCGCTGCTCTGGTTCGCCAGAAGCGGCTTAGTCATGCTGGCCACATGACCTGGAAGCTGTACGCCGGCTCCCTCGGCCAATAAAGCGAGATGAGCGCCGCAACCCCAGAGTCGGTTACGACTGGACCTAATGGTCAGGGGTCCCTTTACCTTTACTAGCTCCATAAATTACCATATAGCATAAATTCAACACAACAAACAGTGACAATTTGTTGTTGACAAAGAACAGCTGGACATATAAAGGGCCCCATTACCTTCAGTAGCTTAAGGCCTCATCAAACCTAAATCTGGCACTAATTGTGGCTAGTAGCCATTGATAGCCTTCTCTGTCAAGTTTTCCACTCCTCTTTTAAAGCCATCTGAATTGGTGCCTATCGCTGTCTCCTGTGGGAGGGACTTCCATAGTATAATTGAAATTGAAATATTTTATTGTCACTTGTACAACTTGTATACAGTGAGATTGCAGGAGCACCCGCCACTCAGCTCTCTTCGTCTTAATCCCCCTCATTTACTGACGCACACTCACCAAATCCAAAAGTCAGTTGCCCTGTTGTTCTCTTTTCATTCAGCAGCCTAACAGGCCACGGATAGAAGCTGTTCTTTACCCTGTTGGTGCGACTAATTGAGCTTCCATATCTTCTGCCTGAGGGCAGGAGATCAAGAAAGTGTCGGCCAGGGTGTGAATCATCCCTGAGAATTTTCCTCACTCTCCTGAGGCAATGTTCTTCCGCTATTTCATCCAGAGAATTCACAGGACAGCCCATAATATCTTGTGCTGTATTCACCACCCTCTGTAGGCACTTCCTATCAGTTGATGTGCTGCGTGAAGGACTTTCTTTCAACTGTCCCGAATTTTCTAACATTCAGCTTCTTTGAATGTCCATCTTCACAGCCTCCTTCCTCTCCCTCTCCAAGTTCCATCCCTTTTGACTGGTCATCTCTGCTTTCTTACACTTTTTAGATATATATATGGTCTTGCTTATCTCTTGGTAGATTCTTCCCATCCATCTAGTCATCCATCCATCCTTTTTGGCTTTTATCTGCATATTCCTGAATTGCAAAGGGTTGGATTAGATGCTCCTTAGGGTCACTCCCAATCTACAATTCTATGAGTCTCTGCTTCATTGTATGAACTTATTTGGTGCAAAAAATAGAGAAATGCTAGGTTTGTATTTTGGAGCATTATCGTGGATCTCTTGCTGTCGTTTCCCGTTTTGCACAACACCTACGGAACCAATCTCACAGACTTATCCAACATCTCACTTACTACTTTCCTGTCTTACTTATGACTTGCTTATCTAACTTACCGGACTTTCCCATATGATGTACTTCTGACTTTCTTATCTGACTTATCTGACTTTCTATCTCTCCAAACGCTCTTCCTTCCTTCCCTCTTTCTCTACAGCCCTCCTGTCCGTCTCTGTTGCAGCCTATTCTGCCCCCACGGAGCTCACAGTGGGGAAGAATTTTGGGAACTCGCCCCATTTTTATTCCTCTTACAACAACCCTGTGAGGTTGGTTTCAGCCTACCAGCTGAGGGACGGTCTGCAAATCTGAGAAACAAACAAATAGGCTAGGCTGAAAGAGGAGGATTTGAACTCGTATCTTCAGGTTTCAAGTCCACCACATCGGCAAGACTGATCTTTGAATGAGCTGATTTGGTTCATTCTAAGAGAGGGGTGTCCCTAACCCTTGTATCTTTGGGGGGGGGAGCGGGTTGGCCCATCATTCCACCTCAGCAACGCAGAACGATAGATACTGTCCCCCATCATTATATCATTTCAACAACTGCAAGGTTACCCCCCAAAACAGCCAGACATGAAATGGAATGATAGAGACCCCCACCAAGCCTCCATCAGCTTCCTGGCCCCTCCCTGGTCCAGCAGCAAATGAGTTTGCTCCGGCATCTCCATAGCAACCGGTTGCCACCGGCAACAGCTTTGAAGCATCTCTCTGTCCACGCGTGTGTGGGCTAGGAAAGGCTGATGAAAAGCGATTCTGTCGCCTCCCGGAATTCCCCTCCCTGGCCCGATCCTGCGTGGGGCTGAGCGGTACACCCCCTTGCCCCTCAGGGGGAAGAGCTCTTCCCCCATCCAGCCACCCTCAGCATCCAAGCTCTGCCTCCGTATGTTTCCAGTCATCAACAAGGTAGGAGGAGGAACCCGCTGGACAATACAACGGTTGGTTTGCAGATCCAACCAGGAATGGGGTTTAAGAAGCGGATCTTCATAGCCGGGCGAATGGGTACGGGGGCCGAGGCATCCGCCCACTGAGCACTCCGGAAGGCTGGCTTACCTGAGACACACAGGTGAGGGTTTCTTTTTTGCATGGTAACTGAATTTGTACTGGTAGGTACAGGTGAATATGCACAGACCAGGTCTGCAGAGTGCAGGATGTAAGTTCAAGTGTGTGTGTGTGTGTGTGTGTGTGTAAGAGAGACAGGGGAAAAAAACCCACGCTTTTGCTGCCTGAACACACAGACACTTCTCATCTCCACCAGAGAAACAATGAGAATCTATAATGGCACTTAATTTACAGGCTTATATTTCCCTGCTAATATAGTCTTGCTTTTCCTCTCTTTTTTTTAAAAAAAAAAATAATTTCAAACCCTTTTTGTGCTGAAAATGTATTTCTAAATGTTTGTTTTTTCCTCCCTTGTGGGTGGGAGGGAGACACATCCCCTCCCGATTTCACAAACCGGAAAAACTGATATGCAATGCATTTGATTTGACACTCCCAAAATTACGTTCGAACAAGACAACCCCCCGGCTTTGGAGAGAAGGGCCAAATAAGCTATCCCCACCCCACCCTTCCGATTCATATTCACTAAAGTTGAACCCTCGCCCCGATGAGATTTGATTCTTAAAAGAACTCACCTTGTCAAACACCGGAGACTGTGAAATACAGGGGCAAGGTGGTTCTCCTCCAAACGATTTCAGAACTTAGAAATAAATTCTAGGTCTGTTCCTCTGGACCTGCTGATAAGTAGAGCTAGAAATGTACGTGTTTTGCCTTTCTGGCTGATGTGAAGCAATGTAGGTGCATCAATATAGATATATTGACACACAAAAATCAGTTTATGCGACAAAGAAGGCAGGAATGGGAGGATGAGTGGGTGGAAAGATTTATTTTACCTTTGGTGGGCAGGTGGCAACCGTAGTGCCTGGTCCAGCAAGGATCCAGAAAGATCTGGTCTTTTTTACGAATACTCTTAAACGACTTCAGCTTCAATGCTCCTTAAGCCAGGAACCACACACAGACACCCCCGAGACCTTAAGTGACTCTTCCTTCCTTTAAACCCCATCGCTGACGCCACCACGCCGGCCGAGCCTTCAAAACCCTTGCCTCCAGTTCAGTTGAGAGGTGTGTAACCGCGACTCGCTTTCTCCCCCCTTAAATACGGCATTTGGTCCTGTCGCCACTGGACAGCACTGAGCTACACTGAGAGCCGTTGCGCCGTGGTTCCTTTGGCCACCAGCAGGAGGCGGTCTTGCGACATCCACAAATGCAGCCGCAGATCTGGCCCATGTTTATCTGGTTGCAAGCCGAATTTTGCAGACGTTCAAGGAAACTTGCCGCAGAAGGACCTCTGGAATGGGGCTTGTTTTTGAGGTGGTTGGCTTAGTAGAAGGGCAGAGGCACAGGCCGTCATTTCCTTTCCAGAGGCAACAGAGGAAGCCGTAGCGTACTGAGCCCAACTTTCGTCCCTCTAGATCAGTACTGCTTACACGGACTGGCAGCAGCTCTCCGGGGTTTTGGGAAAGAGCTTTTCTGAAGCCAACCTGGATTTGCTGCTGGGGACTGCATCCAGAATCTCCTGGGGCACGAGATCGAATCTTCGGCAACCATTAGCAATACAGCAAAGAGTCTAGCGGCGTTTTGGAGAGCCACTGGTTCCTCAACTCTACACCCCTCGTCTAATACTCTCCAGGAAGCCCCCCAGGCAGAGCATCAAGGCAAACCATTGCCCGTCTTTGGCCCCCACAGTAACAAACTGGCAGTCTGAGGTAGAGTGCTCCTGAATCTGGAGGATCCACCTAGCTATCCCTGGTCCTGAATGGGGTAACTCTGCCCCTGAAGGACCAGGTGCGCAGCCTGGGAGTCATTTTGGACTCACAGCTGTCCATGGAGGCGCAGGTCAGTTCTGTGTCCAGGGCAGCTGTCTGCCAGCTCCATCTGGTACGCAGGATGAGACCCTCCCTGCCCGCAGACTGTCTGGCCAGAGTGGTGCATGCTCTGGTTATCTCCCGCTTGGACTACTGCAATGCGCTCTACGTGGGGCTACCTTTGAAGGTGACCCAGAAACTGCAACTAATCCAGAATGCGGCAGCTAGACTGGTGACTGGGAGCGGCCGCTGAGACCGCATAACACTGGTCTTGAAAGACCTCCATTGGCTCCCAGTACGTTTCCGAGCACAATTCAAAGTGTTGGTGCTGACCTTTCAAGCCCTAAACGGCTTCGGCCCAGTATACCGGAAGGAGCGTCTCCACCCCCATCGTTCAGCCCAGACACTGAGGTCCAGCGCCGAGGGCCTTCTGGCGGTTCCCTCCCTGCGAGAAGCGAGGTTACAGGGAACCAGGCAGAGGGCCTTCTTGGTGGTGGCACCTGCCCTGTGGAACGCCCTCCCAGCAGATGTCAAGGCAATAAACAACTATTTTACTTTTAAAAGACAACTGAAGGCGGCCCTCTTTAGGGAAATTTTTAATGTCCGACGCTGTATTGTTTTTAATATTCAGTTGGAAGCCGCCAGAGTGCCTGGGGAAACCCAGCCAGATGGGTGGAGTATAAATAATAAATTATTATTATTATTATTATTATTATTAGGCAGAGATAGGGAGGGAGAGAAACGAGATCCCTGTTTTCTATACAATGTGGGGCGGGCGTTGGGCAAGACACTCTCCACGGACCCCGTTCCTGCAGCGAATTGACCTCCTCAGCCCACCCAGGGACAAAATGCGGGCAGGATTCTTGCATTGCAGGGGGTTGGACTAGATGATCTGTGGGGTCCCTTCCGACGCTACAATTCTGGGGTTCCAACACCTTTGCCAACAGCTCATCTTCATCACGCCGGAATCTTTTGGCACCAGAGATTTAAAAAATTTGGGATATGATCCATGAAGAGATTAAAAAATCGATAAAGTTTTCATATAACCAAAGAGCAGAAGCGTACTTATTAGGAATTTTGAGTAAGGATATCCCCAAAGACAAAATTGACATATTTCTATATGCAACAACAGGGACGCGGGTGGCGCTGTGGGTTAAACCACAGGGCCTAGGACTTGCCGATCAGAAGGTCGGTGGTTCAAATCCCCGTGATGGGGTGAGCTCCCGTTTTTCGGTCCCTGCTCCTGCCAGCCTAGCAGTTCGAAAGCACGTCAAAGTGCAGGTAGATAAATAGGTACTACTCCGGCGGGAAGGTAAACGGCGTTTTTGTGTGCTGCTCTGGTTCGCCAGAAGCGGCTTAGTCCTGCTGGCCACATGACCCGGAAGCTGTATGCCGGCTCCCTCGGCCAGTAAAGCGAGATGAGCGCCGCAACCCCAGAGTCGGCCACGACTGGACCTAATGGTTAGGGATCCCTTTACCTTTATATGCAACAACAGCAGCGAGAATATTGGTAGCCAGTTACTGGAAAGGAAATAATATCCCAACAAAAAGGGAATGGTTAAGTAAATTATGTGAGTGTCTGGAGTTAGCAAAACTGACGGATTTAATAAGGTATAAACCCAAAAGTATGGTACAGAAACAATGGGAATGTTTAAATGAATACTTACACAAACAGGGCTCAAATACGAAAGTTTGGTTGCGCTTAGATTAACCTTGTGAAGAATATAAAGAATATAAAGAATACAAAGATTTGATGGACTATGAAAGAACTTAAGGAAAGGAAGTGACTGAAGAACAGAAGTAAAGGTGAACTAGAAATTAAGAGACGTGTGGTGAATGCGGTGGAGGTCTTTTATAATATTTTAACTAGGCTTTATATATGGTACTGTTTAAAGTATAAATTTGGTATTATTGATTATGAAAAGTATTTCCTTTCTTTTTCCTTTTCTTTTACCTTCTGTCTTTTTTTTTCTAGTCTGCATTTTGGAAAACACGTAGACAAATGTGTTTACAATGTTATGCATGGATTTTTGTTTCGGTTTTCTTTTTCTTTTCTTGTAATATTTTTTTAAAAGTAAAAAAAAAAATCTACCGTATTTTTCGCCCTATAGGACGCACTTTTTCCCCTCCAAAAATGAAGGGGAAACGTGTGCGCGTCCTATAGGGCGAATGCAGGCTTTCGCTGAAGCCTGGAGAGCGAGAGGGGTCGGTGCGCACGAGGCTTGCGGGCAGCAGCCTGCAGCCTGAAGCACGGGGCGAGCTGCAGATTTTTTCTTTATTCCCCCCCCCCAAAAAAAAAACTAGGTGCGTCCTATGGGGCGGTGCGTCCTATGGGGCAAAAAATATGGTAAATCCTGCTGGATGGGACCAAGAGAGGCCTTCTCTCTTCTCCGACTGCTGCCAATAAGCTGCATCCGGCATATCACAAAGAGGCCTTGAACGTCCCTAATCCTGGCCTCCTGGCAGCTGGTCTTCAGAGGTAGACTGCCCCTGGGTGTGGAGGCTCAACACAGCCACCTTCCCCTCATCAGTCATTTCGGAACGGTACACAGTCAGTCCCTACCCAGAGAAAACGAGAGCAATGTTCCAGGCCGCCTTCCGAAGCGATTTGTTGATTTTTATCAGCCTTATAAATGAGAGTTTGTCGTAAATGGGGTACATATATATTTATATTCCCCTTCAGCGATAAGGGTACAAAACGTCTCGGAAAGCAAGTTCGTTTCCGGAAACAAATGAACAAGCTCTGGAAATTGCAAAAAGCCAGTTGGAGATTTTTAAAAACTTTTTTTAAAACAAAGAGAAGGGGTTATAAATTGCTTTTTCGAAGCTGCCAGTTGTGGAAGTGGGAGTGCGTGGCGGGAAGACGCAGACGCTTGGGTCCTGCCGCTTGGGCTTCAGCACAGTCGCTCTGAACCACTCGCTTGGCTGAGGAAATTGCGCAGAGTGTTCCCATTGTCTGCATAGGGGATCATAGAGTTGGAACAATTAATAATAATAGGTAAAGGTAAAGGGACCCCTGACCATTAGGTCCAGTTGTGGTCGACTCTGGGGTTGCGGCGCTCATCTCGCTTTATTGGCCGAGGGAGCCGGCGTACAGCTTCCGGGTCATGTGGCCAGCATGACTAAGCCGCTTCTGGAGAACCAGAGCAGCGCACAAAAACGCTGTTTACCTTCCCGCCAGAGCGGTACCTATTTATCTACTTGCATTTTGACGTGCTTTCAAACTGCTAGGTTGGCAGGAGCAGGGACCGAGCAATGGGAGCTCACCCCGTTGCAGGGATTCGAACCGCCGACCTTCTGATTGGCAAGTCCTAGGCTCTGTGGTTTAACCCACAGCGCCACCCGCGTCCCCTCATAGGGAATCATAGAGCTGGAATAATAATAATAATAATAATAATAATAATAATAATAATAATAATATAATATTTATACCCCACTCATCCAGCTGGGTTTCCCCAGCCACTCTGGGCGGCTCCTCACAGAATTAAAAGCACAACAGGACATCAAACATTAAAAACTTCCCTAAACGGGGCTGCCTTCAGATGTCTTCTAAAAGTCAGATAGTTGTTTATTTCCTTGACATCTGCTGGGAGGGCATTCCACAAGGCGGGTGCCACCACCAAGAAGGCCCTCTGCCTGGTTCCCTGTAGCTTTGCTTCTCGCAATGAGGGAACTGCCAGAAGGCCCTCAGAGCTGGACCTCAGTGTCCGGGCTGAACAATGGGGGTGGAGATGCTCCTTCAGGTATACTGGGCCGAGGCCATTTAGAGCTTGAAAGGTCAGCACCAACAAAAGTCCAAATAAAGAATATCTGATTGCCAGGTATATCTGGTAAAGAATATCTGATTACCATATTTGCCAGGTTTGTGATGAGGATTGTCTTGCAAATGATGGCTGTGTTGCATATGTCCCGAAGGAACATAAAATCGTATAAAAAGTGCCTGCAGGTTCCAGTCCTTGTAAAAATCTCAAATTGTACGTAATTTCCCCCATTGTAGCGATGTTCCAGGGCAAGTGGTACCAAGCGTAAGATTTTGCGCCATTTTCCAGTGGAACACTTGAAATTGCTTGGCAAAAATGTTTGTGTTAGAGATGAAATTCACACCCAAATGCTAGTGAATTTTCACGGGGACTTTCTTTTAAGAAATAAATCTGCAGACTGATATGGAAATGAGGAGAGAGGAACTTAGAGGAAAGCAGAAAAAGAAACATTCCTGCAAATTTACCTGTCCCGAGTGGCTAGTAACCCGCTATTTTCTCCTTGTAGATTTCCTGGATCGATGAGCTCTTGGCTCTCAGGTTTTGAAACGATGGCCGATAGTCTCGCCGGCACTTTGCCTGCCCTGGCCAGCGCTGTCCGCCCAGACCCCACCTTGACCTTGGAGCAGAAAGCAGCCTTCGTCTTCGTCTTCTTCCTCTTCGTCTTCCTGGGGCTCCTGATCGTCCGCTGCTTCCGGATCCTGCTGGATCCCTATCGAAGCATGCCCTCGTCCACATGGACCGATTACATGGAGAAAGATACGTTCGATTACCGGCTGGCCTGATGGACGGACCATTACTCTTTTTTTAAGGCTGTTTCAGAGACATACGCAGGGCTTCCAAAGTTGGAATCTGCCCCCTTTCCTCCCGGAAGTCATGGTAGGTCGTGTCAAACCTCCACAAACAGGGATAGTCTACCTCTGAATGCCAGCTGCTGGGTGAATGTTCTCGCCTTCGCGGTCCAATCCACCGTGGCTTATATTTATGTACATCATTTGTAACCCAGCCGATTAACCATGTCCTCTGGGCAATGATAACAAGAGAAGCTTAAAACTTTTTTTTTAAAAAAAACTACAACACTAATCTTTAAACCAAAAACAAAGGGGGAAGAGTAGAACTAAAACCAAAACCACGCCACAAACCCTAAATAGCGCAGTGCCTTTTTCCCCAACATCAGCCGTTCCTGGATTCGAGATAACCTGGCCACAGCGAGTCGTGTAGTTTCCGATTGCTGCAATGAGGTTTGTGTGGGGCTTCCCCTTGAAGACTTTCTGGAAGCCTCAGCTGGGAAGTCAGAAACGTGGCCCCGAGGCGCCTGGAATTTGTGGGGCTTGGATCAACTCACACCATCTGTAGAGTTTCTGGCAAACTGTGCTTTTGGTCCAGGGCAGAGAGGTGGCGAAATGCAGTGTTAACCGGCGGAACTCACTGCCTCATGAAGACCGTAATGACTCCTGGGCTGTTGGTGGCTTTTAAAGAGAACTGGGCACGTTCATCCAGAGGAGGAGCGGTCTCTCAAAGGTCAGGAATCAAGCGGCGCCTCTTGTGAGACCTGGCCCCCATGGGGATCTTTCCCTGGGGACCGCAAAGTCTCTCAGCCGCCCGCTTGGTCCTGAGGCAGCGAGAACAAAGCTGACACTGGAAGATTCAAGGCAGGCGAAAGCAAAGACTTTTTCACACAGAGCAGGGATAATTCGTTCCCAAGAGAGACAGGAATAAGGATAAGGAATTAGCCTTATCCCTCCATGACTTAGCAGCTACCAGTAGTCACAGCTCTGGGCTACTGCCAGTCTCTGAACACCAGTTTCTGGGACTTGCAAGCGAGGAGAGCGCTCCCGTGTTCGGATCCTGATCGACGCCTTCCCAGAAGAAGGATGTCGTTGGCCATCGCAACAACAGGATGCAGGAATAGTTGGGCTTTTTGGTTTGACTCTGCAAACAAGAGCTCCTGAACTCGACGTGCAGCTATTATTTTCATTCTTTATTAAATCTGTATGCCGCCTTCCAACCGTAGGTCTCACAACATAAAACCGCAATATAAAAAACGCAAAATGCGTAATACAAATTAGAACAAAAAGACACCAAAAATTCACAGCACATTTAAAAGGGCATCGGATGTCAGTCAGCCAAGGGCCTGGTTAAAAAGGAACGTTTTTGGCTGGCGCCTAAAGATATATATGGAAGAAGCCAGCCGAACCTCCTTGGGGAGAGCCTTCCACAGATGGGGAGCCACTGCAAAAAAGGCCCTGTTCTCGTGTTGCCACCCTGCGGACCTCTATTGAAAGAGGCACTGATCACAGGGTCTGGGTTGATTCATATGGGGAGAGGCATTCCTTGAGGAACAGCGGTCCTCAGCTATTTAAGGCTTTATGGCATGGGTAGGCAAACTAAGGCCCGGGGGCCGGATCCGGCCCAATCGCCTTCTCAATCCGGCCAGCAGACAGTCTGGGAATCAGTGTGTTTTTACCTGAGTAGAATGTGTGCTTTTATTTAAAATGCATCTCTGGGTTATTTGTGGGGCATAGGAATTCATTATTCTTCATTTTTTCAAAATATAGTCCGGCCCCCCACAAGGTCTGAGGGACAGTGGGCCGGCCCCCTGCTGAAAAAGGTTGCTGACCCCTGCTTTATGGGTCAACCCCAGAATTGGGCATGGGAACTAATTGGCAGCTAGTGAGGCCAGGAGCGGTGCAATATGCTCAAACCGTCTGGCCCCCGTGAGCAACTTGACTGCTGAATTCGGCACCAGTTGAAGTTTCCGAACCGTCTTCAGAGGCAGCCCTATAATGCATTGATGTACGAAGGTTCAGAACAGGTAACAGAAATTACTTCTTCACACAGCGCAGGGTGGAACTATGGAACTCCCTGCCACCACAATGGATGGATTTAAAAGACAAACTCGTGGAAGTGAAGGCTACCAGTGGCTACTAGGTATGATGGCCGTGCTCAGACACAAAAGCTTCTGAAAATCGCAGAAGAGTGTTGCTCTGCTGCTTAAATGCTGCTTGCGTGTTTCCCACGAGAGAATAGGATGCTGGAATAAAATGGACCACTGGCCTGATCTCAGGACATGGTTTCTTCTGATATCCTTATGGAACCTCCAGGTCCAGTGGCAGTCTATCTTGATTCCAAAATGGGAAGAGGATGCTGGACCAGGTGGGCCAGATCCAGCTACAATCCGATGTTCTTAAAATAATGCCCCTACTTACCTCTGACAGCGACGCCGCAGGAAAAGGGGGAGTCTGTGGAAAGAGGAATTTTCCTGGTCGTCAACCAAACTGCACCAGACCAGAACTTCTACTAGAGGGCAACACCGCAGCCAGAAGAACGAGACTTCTAGAGATCCCGAAATGTCTTTGATGGATCATTATGCGAGACTCGAATGAGGGAATGATCCGATCAGCACGTATTTAAGCTTTGGAGGAGCGTGGCAAATAATAGCTGCCATGCCATGCAGAAATTATTGTTAAGTAAGACCAGAAGAGGGGGGTGGCTTGTGACAGAAATGTACTCTGGGAATGAACAGATCTGAAGAGCGTTGGTGTCTTGTCCTTTTTTAAAAAATCGATGTGGCCACAGCAGCAGCAATGGAGATGATTTACAGAATAGCAGTCTTGGGGGAGAATGGTCTCTGCCCCGCAGAGCTTACACTCTCCAGATCACCACTGAGCAGAAGCCCAAGATAACAGCAGGTGGAGCTGGTGCCGGGGCATTATATATACCGTATTTTTCGCTCTATAAGACGCACCAGACCACAAGACGCACCTAGTTTTTGGAGGAGGAAAACAAGAAGAAAAAAAATTCTGAACCTCAGAAGCCAGAACAGCAAGAGGGATCGCTGCGCAGGGAAAGCAGCAATCCCTCTTGCTGTTCTGGCTTCTGGGATAGCTGCGCAGCCTGCATTCGCTCCATAAGACGCGCACACACTTCCCCTTACTTTTTAGGAGGGGAAAAGTGAGTCTTATAGAGCAAAAAATACGGTATATATTCGATTAAATGCGATGCTGCTGACCCGCAACCCAAGCGCTTTTGGGTCTTTTCCTCTGAACTTCAAAGCAGTCGTAGCTACCCATAAATTCTCCCCCGCGGGGATAAATTAGCACCTTTGGGTAGGGAGGGTGCCGTGGGCTGGGGGAGACTGGCCTAGAGAAGAGGCGCTTGCTGCTTTGCACAGTTAAACTGTGGAACTCCTTGCCACAGGAGTCAGGGATGGCCACAAACCGAGACGGCTTTGGAAGAGGGTGAGACGAATTCATGGAGGAGGAGAAGGCGATGTTTCTGAATACCAGGAGGGGAAAAGTTCTCTTGTGCTCAAATCCTGCCTGCTGTTTTCCCCCAGGCACTGTGGAAAGGGGATGCTGGATTGAATGGGCCATTGATTGGCCTGATCCAGCAGGCTCTAATAATAATAATAATAATAATAATAATAATAATAATAATTAAAAAAAAACACCAACTTTTATTTATATCCCACCCTCCCCAGCCAGTCGGGCTCAGGGCGGCTAACAGCAAATATATAACATTAGTATAAAATCAAACAATTATTAAATTACCTCCCAAAGACAGGTCAAAATCAAATTAAAGTCTAATTAGATGGCTTTCTGCAGGGTTAGGGTTGGGAACAGCAACCCACCGTTCTTATATAAACAGTGCCCATCTGATTGGGGTGGGGAATATCACAGGGCAGTTTTATTCAGCCCAGGGGCCACATTCCTTCATATGAAACCTTCTGGGGTCCACATTCCAGCCTCAAGTGAGCTCAGAGGCAAGAGAAGGCTGCTCTGCAGATGAGAGGTTTTGTGTTTGTTGCACCACAATATGGCCGTGTGAAAGCTGGAGGTTTCTGACTCTCTGTCCTCCATCCCGGCAAGCGGGTGTGGGCATGATCCTGGCTCAATGGCACGTTCCGGCCCATCCAAAGCACTTTGAGGAAGGGGGTTGGGAATAAAAGGTGTGTCGTGGGCCAGATTGATAAAGACTCCTGTGCTTATGTGACCATGGTTTCTGTATCGTTTGGTGGGGGTGTATTGTGAAAAAAAGGTGTATAGGGAAAAGGTTTGGGGAGAGGAAGAGGAATCTGCCCCCCCACCAGGTGCCCGGGATGGGAATAAGGAAAGGAGCAAAGGGAATGGCAGCTTGAGACTGGGGGGGCGACCCAGGCATGGCGAGAAATGAGGGTGGAGGGGGTTATCGGAGGGCACAAGATGGCAGCAGGTGGTCTCAAGGCCAAGGAGGGGCTCTTGTCGTCTGGGAAGCCCTGGACCTCCATACACACTGACTACCCCGGGGAAGTCAACTGGGTGCTGCTAACACAGGGGTTAGACTTTGCCCCCCAAAAGAATGGATGGATGCCAACATCATTTATTTCATAAAATGTATACACCGCTTGGGACGTGGGTGGCGCTGTGGTCTAAACCACAGAGCCTAGGGCTTGCCGATCAGAAGGTCGGCAGTTTGAATCCCCGCGACGGAGTGAGCTCCCATTGCTCAGTCCCTGCTCCTGGCAACCTAGCAGTTCGAAAGCACGTCAAAGTGCAAGTAGATAAATAGGTCCCGCTCCGGTGGGAAGGTAAACGGCGTTTCCGTGCGCTGCTCTGGTTCTCCAGAAGCGGCTTAGTCATGCTGGCCACATGACCCGGAAGCTGTACGCCGGCTCCCTAGGCCAGTAAAGCAAGATGAGCGCCACAACCCCAGAGTTGGTTACGACTGGACCTAATGGTCAGGGGTCCCTTTACCTATACACCGCTTGGTGGCTAATTAAAAAAAGAAAAAACTCAAAAGCTCTTTCCAAAAAGAACAATGAAACCATCGGTTTAAAATAGTTAAGAACAGCTCTTAAAAACATTGGAAAAACAATTCAGATTAATGATAAAACGGATTAAAACTCGGGTCAACGTCCAAAATGTCTGGGCGAGCCTGCCTAGATGGATATGTTTATAGGAGGTGCGGAAGAGCGCAGTGATGGTGCCTGCTTGACGTTCAATTGGCAGGGAGTTCCAAAGTGTCACACTAAAAAAGGTTGACGTCTTACAAGTGTGGATCGAGAATCACGTGAGACCTATAACGGCGCCGATTTCACAGATCAGAGCCGTCGAGTGGGCGCATGTGGGGTAAGGTGAACTTGCAGGTAAACTGGCCCCAATTTGTTAGGGGCTGCTTAGGACGACACCTTGAACTCGGCCCAGTAGCAGATGGGCAACCAGCAGCAAGGACGTTTGAGGCCAACAAGCTGAAACAGGGGCAATCATCTTCTTAGGCCGACTGAGATCCAGGACCAGAAGAGGAAGAGACAGGTATGTTCACCCCAGAACACCCGCCTGGGTCCCCGCCTCCGTGCCTTTAGGGGAGCCAGAGGCCCAGAGTCCCTCGCTTGGCACACGGCTGCCTTTCAGCTGCTCCCCGATTCTTCCCCCACTTTTCATTTTCCTGGGGAAAGCTAATTACTTTCCCCGTCAAAAGCCCGCTAAGCTGCTATAAATCAAAGCGGGGCTCGGCTGGCGCCTCGTTACCAGCGGCGAAATGTTAGTTATTAGTCAGCGCTTGGCAGAGAGCGAGGCCTGCGACGCCCCTGGAATCTTAACAAGATCCAGGCTCTTTGCAGGGAAGACGGGGGCATTTGGGGCCGGCGTCCGGACCGTGCCACCTTGCGGGGGCTCAGATCCGTGGATGAAAACAACGCGCTCGTTTTCCCACCTGGGGATGGCAAGTCAAAGGGGGGGGGGAATAAACAGCTGTTTTCAGCGTAAACAAGCTTCCCTTCGGACTGGTTCTCCTAAGATTCTCAGGGCGATTTGATTCCTCTCTGAATCGGGAATTTAGCAAGTGGCCTTCTAGCAAGTCAGTCTGCTGGTTTGACTTGTATGGCCACTTTTCCGGGGTTCTCTTGCGGTGGTTCCTGCAGTGCAGGGGGTTGGACTAGATGGTGCTCTGGGGTCCCTTCCACCGCTACAATCCTATTACAGTGGTACCTCGGGTTACATACGCTTCAGGTTACATACATTTCAGGTTACAGACTCCGCTAACCCAGAAATAGTACCTCGGGTTAAGAACTTTGCTTCAGAGATGATCAGCGCTCCCCCCCAAAAAAAACCTTGAAGCATGGGAAGTCCCAATAAAAATTTATAATTTGGCAGAATATTCGGACTATACGATATGTATTTGTATAATTTGAAATATTTAATGTGATTTGATTGGATTGTTAAAATGGAAAATTTAATTAAAATTATTTTTTTTAAAAAAGAACTTTGCTTCAGGATGAGAACACAAATCGTGCTGTGGTGGCGCAGCGGCAGCAGGAGGCCCCATTAGCTAAAGTGGTGCTTCAGGTTAAGAACAGTTTCAGGTTAAGAACGGACCTCCATAACGAATTAAGTACTTAACCCGAGGTACCACTGTATTACTATTTTTTCCATAATATTTTAAATTTTTCTTGGTTTACAAAGGTATGCACGCAACGTCTCTTTTTTCCAGTTACATTTTCCATAGGTCAGTTTCATCATACCTATCAATAAATCAAAAATTTCTAGAGTCTTTGAAAGCTTTGTGACAAAATGTAACACCAATCCTGGTCTGATTGCAGGGGCTACCAATTAGTTTCTGGGTTCAATTCAGTGCTTTTTGTCTTTAAAAAATGTTTAGAAATACTCTCATTTTGACTCAGGAAAAAACACCATTTTATAGTTCAAATTGGGAAAAATAAATACAGTAAATACAATGAAACTGACCGATCACCGCGCTAGATTCCAACTCCTACTTCACACATTAAATGCTCGCTTAACCCGAGGCACCACTGTATTCCCCAGCAACCCCCTTCTCCCATTTCCCTCCCTGCCTCATGGGATTATCAGCCAGCAGTGGGGATCCTGAAGCTCTCCAGATGTCGTTGTCTGACTTCAACTCCCTCCCGGCAGCCAGCAGGGCCAATGGTTAGGCCAGCCATATCTAAAGGACTAAGGGCTCTCCCATCCCTTGAGACTGAGATACGGTAATAAATGTGGACACATGGCGCAGGGTGTCAAGGAACCCTTCCAAAAGCAGGACCCCCTTGCAATATGCCAGGCTCAGCTCAGCAGACTCCCAGACCCACAGAACCCGTAACAACGGTTGTCTCGCTACTCCACAAAGGAGTCCTGCTTGTTTTAATTTCCCAGCTCAGAAAGAAAACGGGTGACCATGGCATTTTTATTAACCAAACCAGAGTACAAAAAAAGAGAGGAAATTGTACACATTGTAAACGTAACATTTTCGGGCAAAAGACCCTAAAATATAAAATATATTTCCCTCCCCCCCCCCCTTTAAACAAGCCAGCCTGTACATAAAGCTATTTTTCATAATAAAAAAAGAGAAAGTCATCTACAAATCTGTAGGGCACTTGTAACAGCTGCCTCCTGGAGTCTGCGCTGGGGTAAGTTAGGAGGTTTCTGTGGCCGTAAAAGGCCGGCGGGGGCCCCGACGTTGACGCTGCAGTTTTGACGAGAGACAAGGGTCATCGCTCTGCCTGCTCCCCTTTCTCTCCAGAGACCACCAAAGCACCGGGCGAACGCCAAGGTGCTACTTTTTTAGCACTTAGAAGATCGTTTCAAGATCGCTGCTTTAAAAGTGAAAGGCTGCAGCAAGGCTTCTTATTTCCTTTCTCTAAATTGCACATTAAATAAATAGGGTTCCTTTTCCTTAAAAAGCAGGAGCACGAGTTTGGTGCTCACTGTCTCCCTCACTCCTGGATGGGAAGGTTCTTCGCGAAACCTGTCTGCCTACAGTTCATTTGTCCTGACCGGGGCCAAACACTGTGCATTTCAAAGCACTATATACCACGATGATACAGTCATGGCTTCCCCCAAAGACTTCTGGGAGATGTAGTTTTGCTAAGAGTGCTGAGAGTTGCTAGAAGTCTTCTGTTTCCTCTCACAGAACTACAATTCCCAGAGTTCCCTGGAAAGAGGGACTGATTGCTAAACCACTCTGGGATGTACAGCTCCTGGTTTTTTTGGGGGGGGGGTGTCTCTTAAAAACTCTCAGCACCCACAACTAACCACAGCTCCCAGGACTCATTGGGAGGAAAGCCATGATGCTTAAAGCGGCATTACAGTACTTTAAATGCAGGGTGTGAATCTAGCCCTAGTGACAGGTGTTGTGAGAGGAGGTCTCCATTTCTTGTGGCGGACGGGGTTGTGTGCCCGTGATCCTTTGCACACCTGATTTTCCTCCCTCCCTTAGGAGGAACGGAGAAGCCCACAGCTTGCACCAGGGATTCATCAGCGTATCCTGAGAATGCAGGGACGTCTCTAGCTCAGTGGACAACTCTTAGGAATGTTTAAACAACAAGCCTGCAAGAAACCTGCCCCGCCAAAATCATCAGTTCTCAGTTGCTGATGTGCCCGACATTTGCTTTTATAAGCTATCCCTGAAGATCTTAGGAATGTGGAAAGCTGATTTATGCAGATAGTTGGTCCGCAAAGGGCAGTACTGTCTGCACTGGCTGGCAGCAGCTCTCTGGGCTTTCAGGCAGAGAGGGGGTGCCTCGGGGACCTGAGCCAGGGACCTTCTGCACGCAAGACAGCCGCTCTGATGCTCTGCCAGAGCCCTCGCTTCTTCAAATTCTAAAGTCTGAGCAGCTGCTCAGGTGCCCCTGCAAAGGGTGCTGGGACTCCCACCATCCCCCGTCGGCACAGCCAACCATCAGGGATGCTGAGAGCTGCAAAAACCCGTCCACGTTGGCTACCTTCTGGGTAATGAGGAACTTAGCTGCTGACCATCAGCCTCGTCCATCGTCCTTTGGAAGGAACAAAGGCCCCGCAAGGATCACAAGTGGGGAGTGTGTTGCTGCCGTCATGCTCGAGTCCCGCTCGCATCTGGGGCATCTGGTCGGCCACAGTGAGAACAGGGTGCTGGACAGGATGGGTCTCCTCCGACCTGATCCTGCACAGCAGGGCTCTCCGTACGTTCTTATGGGACCTCCAGACCCAGAGACAGTCTATCTAGGTCCTTCGGTTCCTTGGGGTGTTTGGCCACTGTGAGAGCAGGGTGCTGGGCCAGACGAGCTCCCGCCGGCCTGATCCTGCAGAGCTCTTCCTATGTTCCTACACGTGTGCAGTTGCTGGCTGCCTTTCAACCCACCCTTAGACACACACGCCCCAGAACCAGGGAGACGCGAGAGACATCAAGGGCTGTTATCAGAGGCTAACTGGTTCCCCTAGTTCCCACTTTTATTTCATTTTATAATAGCCGGGGGGGGGTACTAGGTCCCCCCTACAATGTTGGGCTTCAACTCCCAGCATCCTGTGTGGCCAACCTGTCAGGGATAGCAATGGGGGATTTCCCATCCGGTCCCTAAGGCATCAAGTGCAACACACAGCAGAGCAGATAGACGGGTGTAAACCTGAATACAGTTTTTGGGGTTGTTTTCTTTTTTAAAAAAATGTGGTTCTAGTCCTCACAGGCACAAAGACAACCCTGGGAACTGGACTGTGATCAGTTATATACATACACACATATATATATATATTAAAAATATAGAGAGCTATGGCAAATATAAATAAATGCACCTTTTGAAATTAAGCCTGCTTCAGCCGCACAGTGGCTTCGCAGTCCAAAGGGAATAGATTCGGAAGCCCCACACTAGCTAGGTTTGTGAGCTTCCTCGCAATGGGGTGGCTCTTTCCTTTCCTATAAAATATTGGCCCAGTTGTTAACAGTTACCGTATTTTTCTGTGTATAAGACTAGGTTTTCTTCCTTCAAAATAATGTCAAATATTGGGGGGCGTCTTAGGGGCCATCTCTCTTCCCATTTTCTTAAATTTGAGTCCCCCGAAATAGGAGGTGTCTTATACATGGGGACGTCTTATAGATGGAATAATACGGTACGTGTTGTATTCTGGGTAGAACTGAAGGCTGGGGGCGCGAGGGTGAAGGGAGACGGACAAGGGCAAGAGTCTTTGGGGTCCCTTCTGAAAGCTGAATATCCCAAAGGCCTGAATAGAGCGAAGAGCAAGCCTGGGGGGCAGAAACAGGGGAGAGACGGCACCTGCAGCCTTCCGCAGGTTGACCCCAAGTCCCACCAGCCCCGGTCAGAATAGGATGGTGATTAAGGAGGACGAGGAAGGTGTGGCTTGCGGCCTAGGAGCATCCGGAAGGGCTGCAGACATCCCTCCATCCCTGAGCCAGAGGTAAATATGCACATCTCACAAGGCACAGGCAGGCAGGCTTATGCTGGGGCCAGGGTAGCCCAGGGGCCGCATCCCCATCTTCCAGGGGCCACCTTGCAGAGGTGCGAAGGGAGAGAGGAGATAGTGGGTGGAGCAACGGGCATGGATTTCTACCTTTTGTAATCTAATAAGGCTGGTTTGTACAGTCTCTCTCTCTCACACACACACACAGACACGCCCCTCCAGTCAGATAAGCGAGAGGAACGACTGGAATTCAAGGGCACCCCCAGGGCTAATAAAACCCTCCCCCTCATCCCCCAGGAGGTACAGAGAGGGCAGCTCAGAGGCTCAGCACCAAGGGCAATGCTTTCGACACAAGCCACTGCCCATGTTTCTAAGAGGAGAGCCTGCCTTCGTCGCACCCGCTACTGTCAAGGCCTTGGGAAACAGGAAAGGGGTGTCTCCTGTCAATTTGCACGCAGGGTCCTTCAGCAACTGGGGCCATTTGGCGGGGGAGGGAACGTCCTGTGGATCTGCTCCTGTTTTCTGCCACCGCCCCCCCCCCCGAGAAACTGGGCTGCGTACATCAGCATTCCCACCCTGTTCCAGAGAGGGCTGGCACCCTGACAGTAAGGCTGCCTCGCCCTCATAAAAAGGGCCAGGTTTGGTTCGGTGCTTTAGGTCACTTGCTGGCGGCTTATAAAAAGGGTAACAAAAATATCTCTCTCTGAATGGCTAGGGAGAATATAAAAAAAGGCATTTATTTTATGGCTGTGGGTGTTTAAAGCCCTGTTCCGAAAGGGGGGGAAAGCGAGGACAACGGACAGGAGAGGGGGTAGGGGGGTTGACTGTGAACTGTCCCCCACCAAAGGACTTTTGTCCAGAGTTTCTTTGGACGGAGGGGTGCGGCTTCCTTCTCTCCGCTATACCCCTTTTCCCAGGCAAGCTTTAATCCTTTTGATTTTCCTATTTTAAGAAAGTAAGTGAAAGGGCGACCGGAAGGGTTATGAGGTGCTGACCGTCTCCACCGCGACGTCGGTCGGGAGTTCCAGGTCCACCGTGGAGCTGACGGCTTCCTCCTCCGCCACGGGGGCGGAGCTGACCGCCTGGCCCTCGCCGTCGTCCTCCGCGACCCCTTCCGTCCCATTGGCCTGTTGCCTGTCCATGGCTTCCAGCTTCTGCCGGTACCCCTCGGCCTCCAGCTCCTTCTTCATCAGCCGGCTGCGGTACTCCTGAGCTCGGCGGTTGGCTTCCTGCAGCTGCTGCTGCAAAATCTCCCTCTCCTACGGGGGGGAAGCAGACCCATGTCTTTGTCAGGAGGGGCGGCTCAGGGCAGCTGCAGAGAGGGCTTCCTCCAAAGAGGGGGGTGGATGGTGGATCAGGGCTGGGCTAAAAATCCCAGTTTACTGCTGGGGGAAAGCAAGGTTCTAGACCTCATGAACTGCAGAGGGAAAAAGCACAGAGGCCCCGTCCATCTTCCCTCTGCAAAGGGATGGAATATTCCGCACAAGTAAAATCTTTCTGGCAAAAAGGGAGACCTACTTGTGCTTAAGAGTGTCGGACTAGGACCAGGGAGAGACCAGGGTTCAAATCCTGCCACTTGCCCATGAAGCTCCTTGGGCCGGCCGCTGCCTCTCAGCCTAACCTACCTCACAGAGCTATTGTGAGAATAAAGAAGAAGAGTTTGGATTTGATATCCCGCTTTATCACTACCCAAAGGAGTCTCAAAGTGGCTAACAATCTCCTTTTCCCTTCCTCCCCCACAACAAACACTCTGTAAGGTGAGTGGGGCTGAGAGACTTCAGAGAAGTGTGACTAGCCCAAGGTCACCCAGCAGCTGCATGTGGAGGAGCGGGGAATCAAACCCGGTTCCCCAGATTACGCCATGTTGAGTTTCTTGGGAGGGAAAATGATGGGATATGATTGCAACAAAATAACAACAGTCGTAGCTTGGAAGTTGAACGAAATCCATTCCGGAAGTCCATTCCAAAACGTTCGAAAACCAAATCACAGCTTCCGATTGGCTGCAGGAAGCTCCTGCAGCCAGTCGGAAGCCGAAGAAGGACGTTCGGCTTCCAAAAGAACATTCGCAAACCGGAACAATCACTTCCGGGTTTCAGTCGTTCAGGAGCCAAGGTACAACTGTAAAAGTAAGTAACATTTCTCGCCATTCTAGGACATGGGCGCCCAAAAGGCATTGGGTTCCCCCCCCCCCTTTACCTTGCTTTCTTCCAGGTCATCTGCAACTTCCTCTACCTTGATCTTCTTAGCAGGGGGCTCCTCCTCCTCCTCTGCTATGTGGTGATCAATGTCACTTTGCTCCTCGATGACGGTTTCTTCTGCGACCTGACCAGCAGGCACTGTGAGGACTGCAAGGTGCGGGGGGGGGGGGGGAGACACAGGAAATTCTGGTGAGGGGAGGAAAGCACGCTCAGGGGTTAGAAAACTCAGTTTTTAGAATGGGAGCCATTCCAGCCTCAACTAATTGCAGTTCACGTTCGTCCCTTTACAGAACAGAGCTCGGCTGGTTCATCTTCAGTTCAAATTTAATTTCTTTAATACTGTATTTAAATTGCTGTAACTCCCCTCGGTACCTTAGATTGAAGTGTGGCACGCTAATAAAGATAATAACAATTACTATTATATTATGGTTTCTATTGTTTTATACAGGCCTGCCATATGCCTGGATTTTGCTGGACATTACTGGGATTTCAAAGGCGGAATTGACGTCTGGCTTGGTCCTGGATCGTAGACAACTCAATAGAAAAATCACAGGGTGTTTTTGGCATTTTTGGGGGAAAAAAATAAATCTCAACAATTTTGGGGTTTGTCTTTAAAAGGCTCGTCAACTTTGGGGTTTTCCAAACAGCAACCTATTTCATCCCCACGCTCTTCAGCAAAGTTCCTTCGGATGGATGGCCCCACGCAGTTGGAACTGTGGAAGGGGAAGGTGGGGGAGAGATGAGGTCTGGCTTGCCAGACCAAAAAGATACTATGAAGGCCTTTGCCAACTTGGTGCCTTCAAGACAGGGATGCCCTCCAAAGGCCAGGGACGGTGATCAAAGTCCAAAATCCCTGCAATGCAGCAATCACAGCTGAGGAAGTCCTGACTGACGGCCACCCAACTTCTGCTTAAAAACCTACAGGGAAGGAGAGTCCATCACCTTCCGAGATCCACTGTCAAACAGCTCTTGCCGTCAGAAAGTTCTTCTTAATGTTTGCTTGGCATCTCCTTGTCCTATGAAACTGCTGCTTGGGATCCTCCCCTCCAGAGCAACAGAAGAACAAGCTTGCTTGTCTCCTCCAGGTATCTGAAGGTGGCTCTCCTATCACGTCCCAGATGTAGTCAGTCAGTGTCCAGCCACACTGGAAGGGCCAGAGGTGTGTCCCCCACACTCTCTGGTCTTCTGTTTGATGCTGGCTGAGCCCCAAAAAGAAGGGAGCAGCTTGCACCTCTCCCCTGGAGTCGTTCCCCCCCCCCTTTACCTTGCTGCCCATTCTGCATCGTCACGATGAAGGGCTGGCTGAGGGCCCCACTGGGAAGGGCCGCCTGGAGGTTGCCCAGATGGACACCGTCGGTCATGATCGTGATAATCCGCCGGCCCCCGCCACCGACCACGTGCTGGAGGGGGGAACTGGCAGAGCTGGAGTCCACTGTTTCCTCAGACGCTGCAAAAAAAGAAAAAGAAAGAAGTCAAAGGCAAGAGCTCAGCCGCTTCTGTTTCTTTTTTAAAAAATTAACCAGGGAGGAAAGAGCTTAAATCACAGCTTTGGGGGCCACCTGGACAAACACAGCGCTTACGATCTGGCGCCACAAAGAAAATGAACAAATGAGGTCTAGCAACCCACGCTCAGCTGCGGTTTTCACGTTTGTTGGAATGGACTCGAGAAACACTAATTTCAAAACGAGGTTTCTAGACCTCATGGCAGCACAGAGAACAGAAGGGTTTCTTGCTCCCTTTCTCGTGTAGGGGCATGGCCGTTTTCTGAACACAGAGACCTTGAATGGCCGAACTCAGGACTGGCGGGATCTGAGGCCTGCCGGATGCTCACCCCTGACTAGCTGTCCTGCTGGCGGGGGGGGGGGGGGCGGGCAGTTTCCCTCTCCCTGCTTTAAAATGCACTATGGGGGGACTGGAGGGGAAGTAACTTTAGCAGAGTAACACTACTAGCTCTTTGTGATTTCCACATTCATTCATTCATTCATTTATAAAAGGCTTGTGAGGATCCGAACAGGGATGGGGAGTTTGTCGCTATCCAGATATTGCTGCGCCTACAACCTGCTGGCTGCTGAAAAGTCGCTGGTTCCTCATCCTACCCCTAAATATTTCAGAAGTGCGTCTTTGCGGCAGGCCTCTCAGGGGTTAAGCAGTGGGTACCTGGCAGCCCGGCGAGCCTTGAGGCCTGCATTTTGTTAAACTGGAAATATTAATTCATGTTGTAATTTTGTTCGTTTACCTTATGATGTAATTGTTTCTTTGTTTATTGGTCTTGTTTGTAGGATTCTGTAACTTTTCTGTATTGCTTTTCTGTTTATTTTTATTACTAGCATTCATTGAAGAGCACGCTACTGTAACTAACTAGTTTGTTTTTACAATGCCCACCAGGTTACTAGGGAAAGTCCAGCGAGCTAAGCCAATCCCCCCCTCCCTGCTTATGATCTGGACAGACAGGAGGGCTGTTGGTGAGAGAGCAGAGATGACCTGCTTTTTCCTGTCAGAGTTGAGACAGTCTGCATAGGGACAATGCCCAAAGTCTTTCCACCCATCCACTCATCCCTGGCGACTAAGACCCAGATTCCTTTCGACCTACCAGGGGCTCTGTTTGAGTTGGAAAGCGGGCCGGAGGCTTCTGCGATGGCTGCCAGCGTGGCGAGGACTGAGGTTGTTGAGTTTGGAAACTGCACCGTGGAAATGTGGGAATCGCCTGCCCGGGAGGGTGGAAGAGGGAACAAAGGATGTTAACAGAGAAGTCCCAGAATGGCAGACGTGCGCAGAGGCGGTTTCACTATCCTGTGTTGACACAGCAAGAGGGGAGGAAGTGGGTGTGGCCATTTCCAGAGTCCTACCTGAGGTTGTTTTGGTGCCTGCCGAGGAGACGATGCTAGCCAGACTCATCATGTCCCCTGAAGCCAAAATAAACGGCTGGCCCACGGTGACGGAGCCTGGGACCGGGTTCACTCTCTCGGGGTTGGTGTTGACCTGGTTTTGCATTGCTTCCTGAGGAAGAGAACGATGCCCTGATTCAGGCAGATGTTCGTCCCTAAACGCTTGTCCCAAAACAGCCTTCCAGTTGCCATATCCACCCGCCTCTTTGCAAGTCCATTGCTGGAGAATGCTTGGTCCAGAAACTGCCGTTCTTGAGGCACAACTCCTGACAGGAGCAAGACCCTCTCAGCGTGTTACACTTCAGGCTCAGAGATCTGCACTGGGTGCTGATTTGTTACCCGGCCAAATTCACCTTGCTCCATATGTGCCTATTCAACCGCTTTCACACTTGCAAGGAATCAATCTTTCAGCGTTGCAGCACTGCTCATTGACATTAGGAAAATGCCTTCACCATACAGTCACCGTTCGACTGCCGGAACCGTTCAAAAACCAAGGTGTGGCTTCCAATTGGCTGCACTCAATTCCTGCACTCAATCAGAAGCCACAGAAGCCGTGCCAGATGTTTGGCTTCTGAAAACCGTTTGAAAACCAGAGCACTCACTTCCGGTTTTTGATAGTTTAGGAGCCAAAGCATACAAGTACCAAGGCGTTTGGCAACCAATGTACAACTGTACTCTTTGCAACATCTGCTTAAAACATTTTTCATTTACGTACACACACTAAGACACACCATCTTATTACATACGCCTGCTTTTAAAACTTCTGGTTTTATTTCTGTTTTGATGAATTGGACATCCATTAGTTTTGAACCTTTGGTTCTATCAGTATTTTTAATGAATGTTTTATACTGTTTTATGCAAACTGCTAAAAAATCTTGCCAAATACGTAGATAAAACCACTGCCTTGGGTCAGAAGAAATTAAACTTTCAAGGCTTGTCGGCGTATTCTGCTTCAGCTGTGAGTTGGGAGAAAGACATCAGAAATCTAAAAGAGGCAGTGTCATTTTTAGGTGCCGGTCCTTCGGGTCTAAAAGAGATCAACACCAGTATTGCTAACCACAAGCATAGCATTATCCTAGACCCAGACAACAGTGTTGGGCCAGGATCTCCTAAGGCCTCTACCTGCTCCTCTAGTCACCCCTTTCCCTCATTGTCTGATGTGCTCCTTTCGTGGTGAGGGTGCTTGGATTGTGGGGAACTCACTCAGCTCCTTTGCCAATGGAGGTTCAGACAGCAAGTTAGAATAATAATAATAAAGCACTGCTGTTTTGGAGGGCGTTTGGGATATTTAATTCCCTTTTAGGTCCTCAATAAGATACAGTTTATCAGGGCTGGTGTTCTGTTGGGAACAAAAAGGCAGCGTTTCTCTCCCACCTGAAGTATCAACAAGGTCTCTGGGTTGTTCTTGTCCAGTGCGATGTCAAAGGCAGACTTGTCAAACTTGCTGAAGGCGTGCACGTTGGCCCCGTACTTGACGAGCAGCTCAACGACGTCGCGGTGGTTGTGCTCCGTCGCCCAGTGCAACGCCGTCATCTTCAGCATGTCCTTGGCGTTCACGTCGGCACCGTTCTGACGAGCAGGGAGAAGAGAAACGGCAGCTATGGGTCAAAGCCAATTTCAAGAGGAGCATGGGGAACGCAGGTCCCCGGCCGTGCAAAGAAATCAAACCACCAACACCATCAAGGATGCTCCAAGGAAGTGCTTTTCAGCTCTCTACACTAGTGCAAACGGTACTCTAGCCACAGTCGAGACAACAGGAGTACAACTATGTTAGTCTGTCCCGATGTACCAACAAGACCAGGCATAGGCAACCTTCAGCCCTCCAGATGTTTTGGCCTACAACTCCCATGATCCCTAGCTAACAGGACCAGTGGTCAGGAATGATAGGAATTGTAGTCCAAAGCATCTGGGGGGCCAAAGGTTGCCTATGCCTGAACAAGACACTATGACAAAAGCAAGATGTGGGTAAACCAATCAGTGAAGGTTCAGCAGATGAGAGGGAATGGAGGATAATTTCTTATTACTGCTTCTATAGGTGAAAACAGATGGTGGGCTTTAGGTTCTGCTGTTATTCCCAAACTGATACCTGGTTGCTTAACCTTAACCGTTGCTCAGGTCTTTTTAAAGCCACCCCCATTATGACAGAACCTCGCCTACCCTGATGAGGAGCTCCACGATGTGCGAGTGCCCGTCAGCGGCTGCCATGTGCAGCGGCGTCCTGTCCACCTTGGTCCGTGCGTCTCTGCTCACTCCTGCTCGGAGCAGGACTTCCGCCGTGGAATAGTGGCCATGCTGAGCTGCCAGATGAAGAGGGGATGTTCCCAGCTGCCGGACGAGTGAACAGGAAAACGTTACTGCATAGTCCACCATTTCTGACTACACTCCACGATGAACGGGCCCATCCACGGCTCTGTGGCCGCAGCCCTTGTATTCAAGGCGGCATGCAATCTCCATGACTCAGGAGGCATGCAGGGACTGTGCGCCTTGCGGACAGGACAGTGGGGGACAAATGGCTTCAGCTGACCATGCAGTCTTCTATAACAAGTGTGTAGGGAACTTAAGCCCCTCCAGATGTCAATCGCTTCCAGCGCCCATCATGCCCCATCAGCACAGCCAATGGGCAGCGAATGGGTATGAGCATATAAGGCCTTAAAAGGTTTGGGATCCAAGTACCGTAGTTTTCGCTCCATAACACGCATTTTTTTCCTCCTATAAAGTAAGGGGAAATGTCTGTGCGTGTTACGGAGCGAATGCTTCCCTCCTCCGTGGTTTCCAGTGGGAGAAGAGCCGCTGAATGGGGAGGAGAGAGGGACAGAGAGCCTGCTTCTTTAAAGGAGCAAAGCGGGAGGAGAGAGGAGCCGCTTACACTCGTGTGCTTACACTGTTGGCTCCTTTAAAGCAAGCAGGTTCTGCTTCTCTCCCTCCTCCCCACACAGCGGCTCTTCTCCCGCTTTGCTGGAAATAGCAGGAAAGATTTTCAGCTCGCTGGGGGGGGGAGGAGGGAGAGAAGCAGAGCCTGCTTGCTTTAAAGGAGCAAAGTGGGAGAGGAGCCACTTACACGAGTGTAAGCGGCTCCTGTCCGGTTGGCTCCTTTAAAGCAAGCTGGCTCTCTGTATCTCTCTCCTCCCGCTTTGCTGGAAATAGCAGGAAAGATTTTCAGTCTCCTCCCGCTTTGCTTTTCAGCTCGCTAAGGGCGGGGGGGGGGGGAGGAGGGAGAGAAGCAGAACCTGCTTGCTTTAAAGGAACCTACCGGACAGGAGCCGCGGTAGGCTCCTTTAAAGCAAGCAGGCTCTCTGTCCCTCCAGCAAAGTTTTTCAGCTCGCTAAGCAGGGAGAGAAGCAGAACCTGCTCCCTGCGTGCTCCTTGTCCCTTGAGTGCTTTTCCTTCCCTCCCCACTTAAAACGTGGTTACAAAGCACAGATCCACATGGATCCTCAGGATTTTTGCACTGGGTCACCCCAAATTCACCATCAGATCACATAGCATGTCCATGGCTACAGTTTGCACCAAAAAAATCACGCACCCACTGTTACCTGGGGCTGCAGTGGTGCAAGACCATGGTTACAAACATGGATCCACATGGATCCTCAGGATTTTTGCATTGGGCTACCCCAAACTCAACGTCAGATCACATGTCTGTGGCCACAGCATGAACCACAAAAATCATACATCCACTGTTTCGTTTAGAATATTTTTTTCTTGTTTTCCTCCTCTAAAAACTACATGCGTGTTATGGTCAGGTGCGTGTTATTGAGCGAAAAATACGGTATCTAAAAGAGTGCCTTCCCCAGTACAAAATGCTCCAGACCCTACGATCAGCAGGCGAGGCCTTGTTGATGCTGCCACCACAGGGAGCTGCCTGGTTGGCACTGACCCATCACAGGGCCTTTTCAGTCGTGGCTCCCTGGTTGTGGAATGCTCTCCCTAGCAAAGTGCACCTGTCTCCATCTTCATTAACTTCCAAGAGCAATCTGAAAACTCTCCTGTTTACCCAGGAATTTGGTGGCTGAAGGATACAGAGAGACCCTCAAGATCATTAGATGCACAAATGTTTTTCAATGTAGTTGCCTTTAGAATGTTCCTAACTGTACCTGCTTTTAGATGCTTTTAATTGTAATTGTTTTTAGAACTGTTTTCGAATGTTTTGCTTTGTTGTTAAATTGTATACAGTAGTATATTGGTTCTTGAACAGCTTAGTTGATGAACAAATCGGCTCCCGAATGCCGCAAACCCGGAAGTAAGAAGCTCCTGCAGCCAATCGGAAACCACACCTTGGTTTTTGAATGGTTTTGGAAGTTGAACGGACTTCCAGAACAGATTAAGTTTGAGAACCAAGGTACCACTGTATCTGTTTGCTCCCGGGGCTCCTTCGGGACAAAGGGCAGGATATAAATTCAATAAATTAAAAAATAGACCATAGCTCTATTGTACATAAGAAACAAGCAAGTAGGATTTGAGCAGGACATCCCGCTCCACTCCCACGGATTTCAGCAACTCGTATTTAGAAACATTGCTAACTCCAACTGTGCAAGTAGAGCAGAGCCATCGTGACTAGTAGCCATGAATTTGTTGCTGTGAGGGAGAAGGGTCGATGGAAGAAGATTGGAAAAAATTCAAAATATACCTTCAAAAATATTGTAATATAAAAGACTGTTAGAAAGATGTTGGAAAAAGAAAATTAGGCCGTTTTGGTAGATATGATATAAAGGATTAAGCAAAAATGAGCTGATGAAATTGATGAAACAGAGGATGTTTAATTACATTATTTTAAATTAAAATACGTAAATGAAAATAAGGTTAGAAGGATTTGCTGGAAATACGATCTGAACTAGAATACAAAATTGGGAGGTGAGAGGAGGTCATGGAAATAAGTAAAGGGAAAAGGTTATGTAAAGGTTTAATCTGTTTTTGTTTTATTCTAACTTAATGCATTTTTATATTTTTTGTTTCGTCTTCTTTTTTATTCTATTTTATTGTTCACTTTTTTCTTGTTATTTCTCACTTTGTTATGGTTAAATTTTTCTTTGTATTTTGTATGGGTTTTTTTTTTCTCTTTTTTGTAACTTTAAACTTGGAATAAATATCATTAAAAAAAAAAAAAGAATTTGTTGCTGTGATCCCAGCAAAAGAACCCTCCCCCTTCCCCCCATTTCCCTCTCCCGTCCCCCACAATATTGTTGCCCTCCATACACACCCAGTCCGTAGTGAAAGGCGCACCGTTTGCCATCAACGTCCTGACTTCGTCATCTTGGCCTTTGCGAGCCGCTTCCAGCAGCCTCTTCCCCAGGTCCACCAGGGACATCTTGATACATGGGAACAGATGGTTTCAAAAATCTGGAGTTTGACATGGGGTGCGAGAGAGAGCAGAGGATACGGTATGGTTCAAGAAGAGGACATCAAACTCCACAAGGCTATAATTTAGCATTTTAAAAGGCATGGCAATTATTAAATGCTCCAGCCCCTCCTATAGCCACTCGCCAGGAGCACAGTGCAACAGGTAAGACTTTAAGCGCTGGTTCACAATACAGCAAGGCCAATTCTTTACAGAAGGGAGTGAGAAACCTGCAGCCTTCCCAGTGCCCTTGGACTCCATCTCCCATCATCCCTTGCCACTGGCCTAGCTGGCTGCCAGGAGGCGCGTCCTTGATCTTGCCGCGACAGGGCAAACAAACCCCCTAGAAACTTTTACGTGAAAGATACACATGGTATCTTTGCAAACCGTTCAGAGGTTTCCTTGCAATCAAGCGGTACGCAAGACTTGTCAAATGGAACAGAAATAATGAACGTGAACAGGCACACGTGTACATGCGTATTTAAAATAAACACATAAAGGATGTTTCCACTTGATATTTACGTCGTACACATATGAAGGGGTATGTACAAATATTAAAACTGTGGCAGAAAGCGAACACTAATGTTTCATTGAAATGCACATGGCATCCACCCACAAAGGCAGGCATATTCCCCCACACCAAGAAACAAGGAGATAAGGGGGGGGAGGCCACCTCCCCCCTCTGTATCCCCACCAAAGGCAGGACCTGAAAGTGGGGTTACAGGGAGGATAGAAGCGTGCTTGTTTGTTGTATTTCCACTCAAATGTATTGGCAAGAGGCCACGGCTCTCCTGTCCTTTTTTAGCATTCTGTTTCTGTCCCCTCCCCATATATATATATGTGTGTGTGTGTGTGTGTGTGTGTGTGTTACATTTTAGACACAGTGGTACCTCGGGTTAAGTACTTAATTCGTTCCGGAGGTCCGTTCTTAACCTGAAACTGTTCTTAACCTGAAGCACCACTTTAGCTAACGGGGCCTCCTGCTGCTGCCGTGCCACCGCTGCACGATTTCTGGTCTCATCCTGAAGCAAAGTTCTTAAACCGAGGTACTACTTCTGGGTTCGCGGTGTCTGTAACCTGCAGCGTATGTAACCTGAGGTACCACTGTATTACATTATATATACATATACACACACACATATATATAAGTAAATAACGTGTGCGTGTCCGTCATTATACGGCAAAGGGCTTCGAGGTCTCTCTTGGGAATGAAGCCAAATTAAATCCATAATCCCAAATACCCATTTTAGGGGGAAAGAAAACCACTCCCATCACTCCACTTACAGATCTTCCTGCCCCAAAGAGTCTTCTGCAACCTTGAAAACCAGCAAACTCATTAGGGGGAAAGTTTCCCTTAGTTTGAAGCGGTTTTCAAAAAACAACACACACACAAATATTTGTGGCCTCTTTTCTGCGGGGCAGGATCCGCTTTGCTTGGTGCGGTTGTTTCGAGTTTCTATTACTTTATTGTCATTGCTCCCAGTATTTATCTGTTTGTTTATATACCGCTTCATTAAAAGAAGAAGAGGAAGCCTCAAAGCATTTGTGTGTTTGTTGATTCCTGCATGAAATCCAGCGTTGTCCCTAAGGCTGCCCTTTCTTCCGAGGAGCTCGAGGCGGCGGACGGGGCGCTTTCCCCCCTTCCTTTCTCTCTTTCTCCCCGCCTTCTCGCCTTCACAACAGCCCTGCGAGGTCGTCTCTCTCCTTCCTTCCTTCCTTTCTTTCTTTCTTTCTTTCTTCCTTCCTCTCTCTCTCTCTCTCGGGCCTCCGCCGCCTCATCCCCTCACGCCAACTGCCCCCCCATAAAGCCAACCGGCTTTCCCCCCCCCCAACAACGACCCCCCTCCACCCCCTTTCCCCCTCTCACTCACCCCCTCAGAGGCGTCTGGGGTTCGGTTCTTCTCCTCTCCTAACTTCCTACCGGCACATTCCCTTTTAAAAAAATAAAAGCCCTTAGCCTTTTTTAAAAATATAGGTTATTATCATCATGGGAAAATATATATATATATTAAATGGGTTTTGTTTTTCAAGCCCCTCCCCTCTCCTCCCCTCCCCCTCGGCGCCGAAAGGGAGGCAAAATGGCGGAACCGGAAGTGCGTTTGAAAACGAAGCCTCCGAGGTGAGGGAGGAAGCCTGAGAGCGTCGCACAAGGGATATATCCGGTACGTAAGGGGAAAGCCCACCCCTTCCTCCGACGTGCGTTCTCCCGCTCTCTTCCTAGAGGGGTTGCCGCTCTATCCGTCGCCATCTCCATGGTACAATGGTAAGCGGCCATGGTTGCCCCGAGGACTTTCTCGGACGCTCTATCACTTGCCACCTCTATGGGGAGCGGCCATGTTTTTCCCCCTCCTCCTTCCTCTCTATCCCTCTCATTTCTATGGTAAGACTGAAGACCGCCCTGGAGGCTGAGTGTCTATGGGCGCTGTGCGGTGGAGCCGCTCTAGCCATGGGCTTCTCTATGGCGATAAGTCGCAATTTGAATATTGGTGACTTTTTCCAAGGTTTTTCAAAGCTAAAATCTGCCCAAAAACCTCAAGGCTAACGTCTTCAGCTTATTTTTCTGCTCCAGAGGGGAGACGTTATTCGTGACTTACTGCTTCATTCTTTTGCACTGGTTTGCCTTAGTGTGAATCTAAATTTGTTGATATTTTTCAAAAAGTCATTTTAAATTTATTTTTATTCCGGTCTTCAGGCTGTGCTTCGCGAACTCCACACTGGTGGCCCAAGGGGAGATGCCGCATTAAATGTTTGCATTGGCTTCTAATTGTATTTCAACCACTCCCATTATTTCTTACATTGCATTCTTTTTATTAAAAATTTAAATCCTATGGGATTTTAGAGGCTTGACTTATTTTTATTTTTCTTTGCGCTGCGTACCTTGTGCACCAGTTAGAGGCAATAGCAATTAGCGGGAAATAAATTGTCTAAGCAAATAAAATTCTCTAAATAGATATAGGAAATAAAAGAAGAAATTAAAAAATAATAATAATCTAGCTCAGCACATTTGCAATTGCTGCCACAGGTGTTAGGTTCATTCAACCTGCAATTGTTAAAAGTGCAGGGAACCGTGGCTCTGACAATGGTAAATTACAATTCCCATAATTCTTGAATAGGGAGGTGCTTTAAATGTACGGCTTGCAGCCTCACACCCAGCCAGACCAATGGTCCATCCAGCCCAGCACTGTATACACTGACTGGCAGCAGCTCTCCAGGGTTTCTGATGGGAGATTGCCCCCAGTCCTACCAGGAAATGCGACTAGGGACCTGGCACCTTCTGCACTCAAGGCAGCCAGTCTGCCCACTGACCTGCGATTCTTCCTTTAGGATTAAACTTCATGAAATGTACGTAAACTATCCATGCAGCAGCACACTGTGAGATTTGGAAGGACTCTATTTATTCCACTTTGAAATATACTCGGAGTCGAGAGTGGATTTCATGCTCTTTATTCAGCTCATAGTGGTTGAGGAGGAATGGAAGTTTCCCCAGAATGTCTGCTTTATATACATTATTTACACAATGGGCCCCACATGATTGGCTAATTCTGGGATTCTCCTGTAGGCCAATCAGATTGCGGATTCACTTCCACCTGGAGCTGGATTGGGTGGCTCCTGTGGACCAATCAGACTGCTGCATTCTGGATCCTATTGTTTTAGGACCAATCAGACTGCTGCATTCTGAATCCTATTGTTCTAGGACCAATCAGACTGCTGCATTCTAGATCCTATTGTTCTGGGACCAATCAGACTGCTGCATTCTGAATCCTATTGTTCTAAGACCAATCCGACTGCTGCATTCTAGATCCTATTGTTCTAAGACCAATCAGACTGCTGCATTCTGAATCCTATTGTTCTAGGACCAATCAGAGTGCTGCATTCTGAATCCTATTGTTCTAGGACCAATCAGACTGCTGCATTCTGAATCCTATTGTTCTAGGACCAATCAGACTGCTGCATTCTGGATCCCATTGTTCTAGGACCAATCAGACTGCTGCATTCTGGATCCTGTTGTTCTAGAACCAATCAAACTGCTGCATTCTGAATCCTGTTGTTCTAGGACCAATCAGACTGCTGCATTTTGGATCCTATTCAACTCAGTACATAACACACTTCTTGTCCATTTCAGGAAACATTTCCACCCGGTATACGGAGGCCGTGGCGATGCGCAGCAGCAGGGGCGTCGTCCGATGAATCCCTCAAAGGTGTCAAAACTGTCCCCCCCAAAAGAAAGGCTTCCCTTTCTAAGGAAACAGAGCCTCAACTTGTCTCCTGCCTCCACACCCCGCAATTTATTACGTTTGAGGCCTTAGGTCATGTGTTTTCCTCGCCAGCAGCCACCGCCATCGACGAGACCTTCAGCCCGGCTTTGAGCAAAGTCTGCATGGTGCGAACAGGCATCTTGCCATCTTTTGAATGAGGCTTTTGTCCGGCGCTGGGAGGCCGCGATGCATTGGGCCCTAGCTCACTGTTTGGGTATTCAAAGTCCCATTCTTCTCTCGGATCTCCGTGAGACGTGCGGGCAGGCCGCCTTTTCGTTTGGCTTGGCACAGGCTGGGTTAACAGAAGCTGGGGTTGTTTAGTCTGGGATGTGGTCAAAGGATTTGTGTAGGCCAGGAGCACCCTATGTCAAAGACCACTCTCCCTTGGGGAGGAAAATCCGTGTGGGGCTGCCTGTTGGCAGCGGGCAACAGAAGAGCCAAGAGCGACCTTTAAAGCCCTAGGACCCACGTACCTACAGGACCGCCTCGCCTGGTATGCCCCATGGAGGACCTTAAGGTCCACAAATGACAACACTTTGGAGGTCCCAAGTCGCAAGGTGGTTAGATTGGTCTCAACTAGGGTCAGGGCCTTTTCAGCGCTGGCCCCGACTTGGTGGAACGCTCTGTCCCAAGAGACCAGGGCCCTGAGGGACTTGACATCTTTCCGCAGGGCCTGCAAGACAGAGCTGTTCCACCTGGCCTTTGGTTTGCACTCAGTCTGACCCTTATGTCTTCCCTCCCCTTATGGTCTTGATCTATGGGCTACTTTTAAAATGAGGCTGCATTTTAAATTGCATTTTAACCTGTATTTTAAATTGGGGTCCCGTCCCCCCATTATGTTTTTACTGTAATTTTACTGGTGTTAGCCACCCTGAGCCTGGCTCTGGCTGGGGAGGGCGGGGTATAAATAAAATTTATTATTGTTGTTGTGTTGTTGTTTAGTCGTTTAGTCATGTCCGCCTCTTCGTGACCCCCTGGACCAGAGCACGCCAGGCCCTCCTGTCTTCCACTGCCTCCCGCAGTTTGGTCAGACTCATGCTGGTCGCTTCGAGAACACTGTCCCACCATCTCGTCCTCTGTCGTCCCCTTCTCCTTGCACCCTCCATCTTTCCCAACATCAGGGTCTTTTCCAGGGAGTCTTCTCTTCTCATGATGTGGCCAAAGTCTTGGAGCCTCAGCTTCAGGATCTGTCCTTCCAGTGAGCACTCAGGGCTGATTTCCTTCAGAATTTATTATCATCATTATTATTGTTATTCTCTCTGTGCCACTCCCTTTTCCTTCTTTTCCTTTCTCTGTTTATCTTTTCTCTCTTTCCCGTTCTGCCACACTCTCTCCTCTCTCTTTTTACACAAACACACCCTTTCAATCATTTCCTAACACCTCCTTTTCTCTGAATCCCTCCTTTCCTCTTTTTCGCACACTCCAGACTCGACTTCCCAAACCCGGTGCCTTCGGATGGGATCTCCTTCCATCCCTCGCTGTCTGGTCCTCTGATTGTCACGACCAGGCTGGCCTAAGTCATTCTGCAGAACCCGACCAGACTGGCAGCGAATTATCCCAGCTCTGCCCATGGGGTAATATCCCTCACCACGTAATGGAGGCTGGTTCAATAGGGCAAATGGGAGGTTGCCGGCTGCCCTCCACCAAACATACCGTATTTTTCGCTCTATAAGACGCACCAGATCACAAGACGCACCTAGTTTTTGGAGGAGGAAAACAAGAAAAAAAAATATTCTGAATCTCAGAAGCCAGAACAGCAAGAGGGATCGCTGCGCAGTGAAAGCAGCGATCCCTCTTGCTGTTCTGGCTTCTGGGATAGCTGCGCAGCCTGCATTCGCTCCATAAGACGCACACACATTTCCCCTTACTTTTTAGGAGTGAAAAAGTGAGTCTTATAGAGCAAAAAATACAGTATTTACACAGAGGCTGGATGGACGTTGATCAGGGATGTGAACACGCAAGGTTTTGCATTGTGCTTCATCTGTGCGTTTGGGCAAAGGGGACACTGACCAAGAGTGGCAGAAGTTGGGCTCTCACATTTCAGCAGCAGACCGTGCAATGCTAAAATTCAGCACCCACCACCATTCCACAACATTTTTGTGGCGGCCCCTGCAGCCGCATCAGTCATGCTGCCTTAAAACTTTCTCTAGCACCCAACTCAGTAAAGAAAAAGCGTTTTATATGTGTTATAACACTGTAACACCAGATGGCGCTGTAGAGCAGAAAACCTTTTTACACGATTTTACATAGAGTTTTTTCCCATTTTGTTATAATTTCTGACATATCTACATTGCTATTTTTCTTTAAAAATGTTTAGGGGTACTCTCATTTTGACTCAAGAAAATCACCATTTTATAGTTCAAATCGGGGGAAATAAATACAGGAAATGGACAAAAGTACAAAGATTCACAAAACGTTTAGAGGTATGCGTACCCCTGTGTACCTCCAGAAAAGACGCACTGCATATCTATAGCATTTCCCCCCCCCCTGTGTGTAGATCCACCCTCAGTCTTTACCTTCAGCCAGCCTCTCAACCACCCTCCCCACTTAACTTACAACCAATTCAGAGGGTTGCCCTGGCGTGTGACCCTCCTCCTCCATAGTCTCAGCGTTGCTCCTTGGAGAACTCAGCAGGGCGGAGGAGCAGGATGGGGACAAAACTGGAATGAGTTGGCTATTCCTGCCATTGGCTCTGGCGCCCCCTACTGCTGGCCTCCCAGCCTCCCACCCTACCAGACCCAACAGGAACCTGATGCCACTGTTTCTGCCGTGCCAGAACAGAAGCAGAATACTGTAACTTTACATTGATCCCCTGCTGGTGAGGCTCGCTGACCTCCCGGAAAAGCAAAAATTTGACCTCCTGTAGGCAAAGATCATAAGACGACCCGGATGGTCGCTAGATTCTGTGTACAGATTTGTAGGCGCAGACCATCCCCTAACCGAAACTAGTTCATTAAGAAAATCCCCAAACTCAGTTCCATGGGTGACTCTGGTTCATCTCTGTGTGGTAGCTTATCTTCAAGTTTTAAGTGTCTATATGCTTATTGCATTTATAAATTTTAAATTTATTGTTGTACATTGTTTTAAATGTTTGTTTTCCTTCTGGGATTGTACCCCCAAGTGCGTTTTATAAGCTGGTCTCCGACCATAATAAATTATCTATATCTATCTGTAACTTTAGAAATTTGCTGCTTACTCTCTTAAGGTTTCCGGCTCAGGGAAAGTGAGCGGCAGGGACTGGCTCCCAGTGATGTGCCGCCTGAGGCCAATGGGCCACTGCAGGTCACATGATAAGGCCTGAGTCTCCACACATGATGTTATTGAAAAACCTGGATCTTTGTTCTGGTCTGTGGATAAGTGGAGAGGTGGCTGGTGCAACAGTGTTTATAATATTGGCTGCTGTTTCCTTGCAGGCCATGCCAGCCTTTACCCAATTCACTCCCTCTTGCCCTGGCACCACATTGCCCCCTGGGCCGTATTTCCCTTGCGGGCCGCTAGTTGCTAACTCCTGCTGTGGATTGTGGCTGCAGTCGGCCAAAATCCACTCCCTTTTTGTTTTACGGTTGGAGAGGAGAGTCATTCCTGCTCCAAGGGCCACTGGCGATAAGCCTACCCAGTTCCCGTCTTATCCCACATTCCAGCTGATAAAATAGATTTGTCCTGATTCCTGACTTTGAACCGCAGTCCTGTTTCCCCAGCAGCTGCTTAAAAGACAAAGCTGTAATTTGATAATATGCTTGTGGGGGCAGCAAGGTGGGGGGAGCCAACCTCCTCCACTCCGTGCACGATAAATCTCCAGGTGCACAAATCTCTTGTGGTTATTATGAAATCACCACCACAAACGCTCTTAAAGACACCTCTTTTCTTTTGCAGTTTAATCTCAAACACGTCCAGGAGCTGAGCTTTCATCTTGGCCTACACATCTCCCTCCCCTCCCCCAAGAAATGGCGCTTCTTTGGCGCCCCCTCCCCACTCGGCTGAACCCGGAAGTGGCAGCGCAGACCCCCCAACACACCCACACACAAATTATCCCTCTCGAGTTATTCAGAAGCAAGATATGTAATTTCACGCTTTCTGAAAGTGGCTGCTGGCAAGAGGAAGAAGGAAACAGAGCTTGCAGCTCGACGGGCCAAAGACCCGCGGGCCGGAATTTGCTCAGAGGCTGCTTAGTTGCCGACTCCTGCTCCAGATCTTAGCTGCGATCCCCTCAAAAGCCACCCAGCTGTACGGAGTCGTTTTTATGATCAAGGGGGTGTGGAAATGCCTCGCTTAATTCCCCGCACACTTCCGGCTGCCATCGCCACAAACAGGAACGTGGGCGCACCTCAGGGCCTCTCGACGCAGTTCACCCTCCAGCCAATAAATACATTCAGTCCCAATTTTGCAAACCACAGTCCCCTTCCCCGCCCGCAAAAACATGTAAGAGACAGAATGTGAGAAGGAGAGAGACACAGGCAGACGACACCGACAGAAGCAATTTTGCAATTCAGCCTCGCCGTACAATTTGAAAAGGAAAACACTACAGGGAATTGGTCGGAAGGGGGGGTGTAGACAAAAGGTTTAGCCGCCTCACTCGTCGCACTGAAGGACAGGAGCCCAGCTGCACAGGCCTCAGATCAGGTCGAAATCTAAAGGGCCGACGCAGGGTATAGGAGCCCTCCAGAAATTGAAACTGTTGAACTGGAGGAGGCTGGTGTCTTCGCCGTCGTCTTCCCCGTCGGAGATGTTGCGGTTCTGTTTCTTCCGCTCTGCCGCGAAGCTGCCATAGCCTCCCTTGGGCTTGTAGGCGACCAGCTCAGCTAAGCCCAGGTGTTCCAGCTCGCTCAGGTCCAGTTCTGGGATGGGCATCTTCCAGTACAGAAAGGAGTCGTACTGGGAGTTGACTGTGTCCCTCATTTCTTGCTGAGAAGAGAGGAGGAAGAAGGGATCTTCTGTTAGGGGAATGCTTGGGAGGCCTGAGTGCTAGGCATGTCGCTAATAATAATAATTATTATTATTATTTATTTATATGGTGCCCATCTGACCGGGTTGCCCCCGCCACTCTGGGCGGCTCCCAACTCATATAAACACATAATAAAACATCAAGCATTAAAAGCTTCTCTAAACAGGGCTGCCTTCAGATGTCTTCTAAATGTTAGATAGTTGTTTATCTCTTTGACATCTGATGGGAGGGCGTTCCACAGGGCGGGCGCCACTACCGAGAAGGCCCTCTGCCTGGTTCCTTGTAGCCTCACTCCTCACAGGGAGGGAACTGCCAGAAGGCCCTCGGAGCTGGACCTCAGTGTCCAGGCAGAACGATGGGGGTGGATGAGGCCATTTAGGGCAGATATAGGCAAACTCGGCCCTCCAGCTGTTTTGGGACTACAACTCCCATCATCCCTAGCTAATGGGACCAGTGGTCAGGGATGATGAGAGTTGTAGTATCAAAACTGCTGGAGGGGCAAGTTTGGTTATGTCTGGTTTAGGGCTTTCAAGGTCAGCACCAACACTTTGAATTGTCCTTGGAAACGTACTGGGAGCCAATGTAGGTCTTTCAGGACAGGTGTTATATGGTCTCGGCGGCTGCTCCCAGTCACCAAATCTGGCAGTCACATTCTGGATGAGTTGTTTCTGAGTCACCTTCAAAGGTAGCCCCACATAGAGCGCATTGCAGTAGTCCAAGCAGGAGATAACCAGAGCATGCACCACTCTGGAGAGACAGTCTGCGGGCAGGTAGGGTCTCAGCCTGCGTACCAGCTGGAGCTGATAGACAGCCGCCCTGGACACAGAATTGACCTGCACCTCCATGGACCTCTGTGAGTCCAAAATGACTCCCAGGCTGCGCACCTGGTCCTTCAGGAGCACAGTTACCCCATTCAGGACCAGGGAGTCCTCTACACCTGCCCGCCTCCTGTCCCCCAAAAACAGTACTTCTGCCTTGTCAAGATTCAGCCTCAATCTGTTAGCCACCATCCATCCTCCAACCGCCTCCAGGCACTCACACAGGACCTTCACCGCCTTCACTGGTTCTGATTTTAAAGAGAGGTAGAGCTGGGTATCATCTGCATATTGATGGACGCCCAGCCCAAACCCCCTGATGATCTCTCCCAGCGGCTTCATGTAGATGTTGAAAGGGATGGGGGAGAGGACAGGACCCTGAGGTCTGGGCCCATCCCTCCTCCGGCTGTGAGTTCCTCTCCCCACACCCAACAGCAACACCCTTGGGTGGGTCTTAACTGTGGTACCTTCCCTCTCTCCCACCCCCAACCACACATCTCCTTTGCCCCCTCCCTCCTCACCGGCCCACCTTTCAGTCTGGATATTTCCTTTCTTCAGGCAGTAGCACATCTCCCCATCCATCCATCAGCCAAGGAGGGGCTGCCCACTAACCTGCCCCTCTTTGCAAGTTCTCTGCCAATTTTCTCTGCTCCCTTTTCTCAGACATGCTGCCCTTGGCTAGCAAGACTGCATTCCCATGGGGGCAGCAAAAGATCTTTTACGGGGGTTCAAAAATAAAACTCCAAAAGATGGGAGAGCGGGCTAGTTTCTTGCCTCGCCTCCCCACAAAAATAAGAGCAGTGCCTGTCCATTTCGCCTCATATCTCAGCTTCTAGAAACTTACACTTTTTTAAGAAAGAAAGAAAGAAAGAAAAAGGAATTTAAATCTGGAGGTTACGCTTCACCCAAGTGTGCATTTTTTGGAAAATATAATTGTACGCATGCAACGCACCTCCGTGTTTTCCTTCATGGGAGCCATCTCCTGGTTCCTGCTGTGCTATAGCTATCTCTGCCTTCAATGCCTTTCTGGGCTCCCAAGAAAAATTACATCACTTTTAATTTTAAAAGCGGGGTGGGGATTTGTGTGAGTGTGCAGGCTCCTCTGAAAGACCTTTGTGTGGCATCCCAGGCATGTGGCAGACATCTGCGTTTTGAAAATAGCCCCCTCTGCAAGATGGGGGGTGGGTGCGTGGATATTTTTATGTACGCAGACACATCCTTCTAACATTATTTCCGGATAATTGTTTTATTGAAAGGAACCAAATGACTGGCGGAATCAAAACCAAAGAGGCTCCGCGAGCCCCAAATCACCACCTGCTTAATTTAATAAGTGGAAAGGAGGTAGAGAGAGTGAGAGCCATCAAATGGGCTGAGATTCTAACCCTACTTACCTGGGGGTAAGCCCCCTTGAGTTAAATGGGACTTCCTTCTGAGTTGACTTGGTTAGGATTGCAGCCTTCTTGTTTTAAAAAACCTGATTTTTAAATTTTCGTTTTCAAAGACCATTTCATTTGTGGACCACTGTCGCCTCTTCGGGTTTCTAAAAATACCTATATCTCTCCATACAACAAGGGAGTGGTCAGAGAAGGGTTGCGTTTCCATAAAGAGGACGGAATTAGCATTTTAAAACGTTTTTAACACTGAACAGGTGGCTGGCAATGACATGGGTTGAAGAAGTCGATGTTAGCCCTGCTCTGAGGAGACCCGTGGAAATTAAGCAAGGTGGCGTTCTTAGGCCCATTTATTTCAATCAGTCTAATCTAAACACCTATCTATAGCTATATATCTATATCTCCCCCTCTTTCTTTCTTTTTTCCTTTCTCCCCCTGTGATGAGGCTGCATTTCAGTGTTTTAATGTTGAATCTTCATCTTGTTTCTTAAGTTGTAATTCAATCAACTTGTTTTTATTATTGGTTGTTAGCTGCCCTGAGCCCAGTCTTGGCTGGGGAGGGCGGGGTATAAATTATTGTTATTATTATTATTATTATTATTATTAAGACATTTATCTCCTCCAATCCCAACAGTCAGACAGGCTTAACAGGTCTGAATGAGCCTTTTTCTAAAAAAAAGAAGACAAAATGTATTGTATGCAGGAAGATGCTAACTCGGAACAGATTAACAACAATGTGAGATTTATTTGTTTATTTTAAAGGACAAGTGGAAGATGGTAGAATCCGACCAGAATTAAAATACATCCCCCCCCCCCATTTCCCTCCAAATAATATATATTTCAAATACCCTCTTTCTTTTCCCGCTTTTCCTTACCTTCCTCAAAGAAGGACCCAAAGGGGCTTGGGATGCAACAGAAACAGGAGATGCCTTTTGTGCTGGAGGAGAGAGAGACAGAGAGATCTCTAGTGGTCCAGAGAGATGGGCAGATGGTGTGATCCGTCTCCCCTCCTGCTTTTGTCTGGCTGGGTGTGTGTGTGTCTCTGTGCGGGTCTGTCTCTGTTGCGCACAAGCCTCTCCTCTTTTTTTTGCTGCAATGCAGCCCCTCCTAAGCCTTCATCGCAGGGACTGCAGCGGCCCCAGTGATTCAGCTCTAAGAAGAATTTTCTATTTTCAGCCAGGGAAGGAGGCTGAAGCCATGGAGATTTTCCTTCCATATATATGCATGGCGGATGCAATCTCTGTGAGCTTGCCAGGAGCGGGTGTGTGTGTGTGTGTGTGTGTGTGTGTGTGTGTGTTTAAAACGGCAACGATTAGATAATTGCTGCATTATTAGCAATTACGATGCACGTTGTGGAGGAACAGAGAAAGATGAACGCTGGTGACACACGTCTTCATTCTGGCCTTTGATACTATCTATCTATCTATCTATCTATCATCTATCTATCTATAGTATCAAAGGCCAGAATATATACAGACACATTAATAATAATAATGTTGATTTTATTTATACCCCGCCCACCTCAGCCAAGACCAGGCTAAGGGCGGCTAACACCAAATATAAAAACAATTGATTGAAATACAGCTTAAAAAACAAGATTAAAATACAACATTAAAACATTAAAATGCAGCCTCATTTCAGCGGAAACGCAATCAAAAACTTTTTTGGGGATAAAAACGTCAAGTCTTCACCAAGGCTAACTACACACACACACACACACACACACACACACACACACATGTACACACACATACATATATCCATCCTATTCTTCTGATTGCAAATTATTGAATAAAAATTACACACTGCTTGATGGTTAAAAAGACAAACACAATCTCAAAGCAGTTTTTAAAGAAAGATGGAACAATAAAGTTACCAATAATAAAAAATTAACAGCAGCAATGGATAAGGCTTTTTGGAAAGATAAGGTAACAATAGGCAAAAAAAAATATATTAAGATTCTAAATACCTGGATAGGTTTGTTTTTAGCAGGTGCCAAAAAGAGCACAGCGAAGGCACCTGCCTGGTGTCAATAGGCAGGGAGTTCCACAGGTGCTGCCACACTGAAATATCAAGTTCTTACAAATGTGGCCCCCACAGCAGGGCCGGTTCTGTCAAACTCATGCTGGTAGCTTCCAGAACACTGTCCCACCATCTGGTCCTCTGTCGTCCCCTTCTCCTTGCGCCCTCCATCTTTCCCAGCATCAGGGTATTTTCCAGGGAGTCTTCTCTTCTCAGGAGGTGGCCAAAGTCTTGGAGCCTCAGCTTCAGGATCTGTCCTTCCAGGGAGCACTCAGGGCTGATTTCCTTCACAATGGAGAGGTTTGATCTTCTTGCAGTCCATGGGACTCTCAAGAGTCTCCTCCAGCACCAGAATTCAAAAGCATCCATTCTTCGGTGATCAGCCTTCTTTATGGTCCAGCTCTCACTTCCATACATCACTACTGGGAAAACCATAGCTTTAACTATATGGACCTTTGTTGGCAAGGTGATGTCTCTACTTTTTAAGATGCTGTCTAGGTTTGTCATTGCTTTTCTCCCAAGAAGCAGGCGTCTTTTAATTTCGTGGCTGCTGTCACCATCTGCAGTGATCATGGAGCCCAAGAAAGTGTCTCACTGCCTCAATTTCTTCCCCTTCTATTTGCCAGGAGGTGATGGGCCCAGTGGCCATGATGGGAAGTAGGTTGAAGCATTTCCCCACACAAAGCAAGATTTCACTTGCGGAACTCCCCGCTGCAGGATTTGACGATGAACGCTGCCTTAGGTGTTTTGAAGGGGCGGATCAGGCAGATTGGAGGAAGAGGAGGAGAAATGGCGGTAGCTGAGCGCTGAAAAATATGCTTTTCATTCAGACGGTCCTTGGTTCAATCCCAAGGTAGGGCTGAGAACGACATCCTGACCGAGATTCTGGAGAGATGCTGCCGGCCAGGGCTGACAGTACTGAGTTATGTGGATCAAAGGTTTTACTTGCTATAAAGCTGCCTTCTTGATCATGAGAGACCCTCCATGTTCAAACACAGTGTGTTAAGTTGTGGGTAGACATAGCAGACGACGCAGCAATTTCTCCAAAGCAGCTCTTTATTTGTAAGCTGGATCAGAACTTCAATACATAACACCCCTCCCCGCATAGAAAGCATTAGTTACAATCATAGTGGTTCCATTTCATACAGCAATACCCTTATTGGTTTCAGTAAGGCACATAAGCATATTATTTGACCCTATTCACCGTACAGCTTTACATGTGCAGTTTGTCCAGTGAACATAGTCTCTTAGTCTTCACTGCGAGATCACATTCACCCGGTGCTATACCAGCTGCACTGGCTCCCGGTGGAGTACAGGATCAGGTTTAAGGTGCTGGTTTTAACCTTTAAAGCCCTATACGGCCTAGGACCCTCGTACCTACGGGACCGCCTCTCCTGGTATGTCCCACAGAGGAACTTACGATCTTCAAACAAAAACATCTTGGAGGTCCCAGGCCACAGAGAGGTTAGGCTGGCCTTAACTAGAGCCAGGGCTTTCTCGGCCGCGGCTCCAACCTGGTGGAACGCTCTGTCACAAGAGACTAGGGCCCTGCGGGACCTGACATCTTTCTGCAGGGCCTGCAAGACAGAGCTGTTCCACCAGGCTTTTGGTCAGGGCGCAGCCTGACCCCCTCCTCTGGCAATCTGCACAGAATTTTGCTTAATGGTTACCATCAATTTGATTTTAATTAATTTTTATAATGAAAGGTTTTTAGAATGTTTTATTATTTTGATTGTTGTTAGCCGCCCTGAGCCCAGCTTCAGCTGGGGAGGGCGGGGTATAAATAGAATTTATTATTATTATTATTATTATTATTATTAAATACGCTGGGCGCTTGGAAACCCTGCTGGATCGCCGAGGGCCAGTACCAGAGTCCGGGTGGCCTTGCAGATTTCCTGGGCGGAGAGTTCAGCAGCTTCTGAGGCCACGGCCTCCTCAATGGCTTTCTGCAGCGTGAGGTCTGGCTTGGCGAGGAGACGCCGTTGCAGACAGATGTCCCGGACCCTGCAGACGATTTGATCCATCAGGGCATCGTCTAAGTCTCGGAACTCGCAGTGCATTGCAGCTTGTTGGAGGGCGGTGGTGTAGTTGATGATTGATTCCTCCTCTGCCTGGTTCCGGTGGTAGAACGCATGGCGGGCAGCAATCTTGGATGGCTTTGGCACGTAGTGGTTGCGGTGCTTCTCTTGAATCGTGTCCCATGGCGCTGCCTGGACTGCTAGAGGCGCAACCAATGCTCAGGCCGCCACGAACACTTTGGGGCCACAAAGGCTGAGGAAGAGGCCCCGCCTCTGCTCTACAGACCCTCTTGTCAGCTCATTTGCGTGGAGGTAGCAGTCGAACTGAGCGAGGTAGGAGTCCCATGATTCAGAGGCTGGGGCAAACGGTGGTAGAGGCACGAGTGAAGCCATGGGTCTGATGCCGACGTGGAGGGCGATGGATGGAACACAGTGCTCTAGCCAGAACGGTCAGCTCTGAATTGGTTCTGCTCCGTGATTCAGCTCAGTTCAGAGGGTGGCCACATCTGGCTGTGCTCTGATGTCCACTGATCCCAGCTTCGTCGCCAGTGTTAAGTTGTGGGTAGAGATAGCAGACAACGCAGCGATTTCTCCAAAGCAGCTCTTTATTTGTAAGCTGGAACAGAACTTCAATACATAACACTTCAATACATCACCC